TCAGATCTAGGGAACAACAATTCAGCTTCCTCAAAACATACCTCCTCAGCTGCCTTGAGGGGAGGCATTACCAACTTGCACTTGGATAAAAACAGATTAAAAATACAGTTGTAATACTGCTGAAAATTAATAGCATTTCATGTACATTCTTTCATTGATTCCCATATTTCTTAAAAATAATTAAATACTACTTATCAATGTGCTGCTTCATAGAATGCCTTAAAGGAGATGGACTTAAAGGATAGCAGCTCCTTGCTGTAAGAGCCCAGCAGAGTAGATGATCTCCTTAGGTTCCTTCTTTTTGTGTCGGTACGTGGGTACACCAGAATTCTTTCTGCAGGTAACACTTGTGTATCATGATGTGGACCCATTTCAGGTTACTGAAAGATTGAGGACCTTAGGTTTCAAAACATACTGCTGTTTTTCTGGTAATTAGAATCCATTTTTATTTGCAGTGAATTGTTATTCAGTTAACAGCTTTTACTCTTTTTATTTTTTTTTTAAGCTGCTCTAAGAGACTGGTTCAAGTGGAATAAATATTTGCCCTCTCGTATTATTGTGTATCGTGATGGTGTAGGAGATGGACAGCTACATACTTTGGTTAATTACGAAGTGCCTCAATTTCTGGATTGCCTGAAGAGTATTGGTAAAGACTACAAGTAAGTCTGTTTCTACCAACTGCCATTTTTATACTGCAAAAGAAATACACCCTGGGATACAAAAAGTGCTTACAGATGAATGTTGTGTGTCTCTTCATCCTTATTTAGTTTTACTTGAGTTCAAATAACTGTTTTTCTGATGATTGTTGACACGATTTGAGATATGTAGTTTGTAATAGAACAGGAAGTTTTTCATACATGCACCACATGATTATTCAATACACATGTATACTCTTTAGGCATTCTTGATGCATATGGTAATTAATACTTTTTCCAATTACGATAGTGTGGCTACTGTCACATGTGTCCGGTAGGTCCATTTTTTGTTTCCACTTCTGAAAGGACTGTCCTTTCTGTCACTCGCGTTCTGCAGTTTCCAACATTCTGCTTTAAAGCTCAGCAGCTGCAGTTGATTGGTTTCTTACTGCTTTCTTAATCTGCTCTGAAAAATGAAAATGTGTCCTGACACTGCAGGCAAGGGGAGCACAAAACACATTACGGCCAGCAGGGCTTGAAGTGCGTAGTGCTTCTGTTGGCTTCTGGTAAATGGCTTGATCTTTACCAAAAATACTGTTAAAAGACGGTGTTTGCTACATCAAAAGATGAGGTAGAGGGATAGTAGAAATCAGATCTGTCTAGAAGATCCCTTTTTGGTCTGTTTTGTGTCCCCCTATGAAATTGAATGTAAGCTGGATTGGTGAGAAATAGTATAAAAGCTGCACCAGAAACTAAAAATCTAAAATTATGAACAATGTCTTATTTAATCCTAAGGAATGAATCGGTGAAGACTTATATGTGAAATTCATGTTCTTGAGAACTCTAAAATTGCTTTTAATTTGAAGCTCTGGAGAATCTGCTCCTGAAACACTCTCTGTGCAGTTTTTCACAATAATCTTGTTTTTTTTCCTTTTATTTTCATTTACTTTTAGTCCAAGACTTACTGTGATAGTTGTAAAGAAACGAGTGAATACCAGATTCTTTGCACAGAGTGGTGGAGCACTTAAGAACCCACCCCCTGGTACTGTTGTTGATGTGGAGGTTACCAGACCGGAATGGTAAGTTAGTACAGAAGTAAAACTTTTGTTTGTTGGCAACTTGATAATAAAAGAAATATATCTGATACTAAATGGACTGTGGGATCCAGCAGAAGAATACTTACCTCATGTCTGTCCTTTGAAAAGACATCACAGTAATGTGTAGATAAAAGAAATGGAGAAGCTTAAATTTTAGGAGTCCATTATGCAGTATTTCATGGTTTCCATTGTGTAGTATTTGTAGACATCACAGTATCACACATGCTCATGTCACACTCCATGAAACTCGGGTGAGGTGTGTGGGAAATGCAAAGCTTATTGAGTGCCTGGTGAAGGGTTTGGGTTTGGTGGCAAAGAACATGGCAGTGTGCACTTTGGTAGTAGTTCTGCCTTTTCTCTCTTGGCATTTCACCAACCCACTGTGAGAGGTGACACATCAAACACAGCTCGGGGTGCTGCAGTGGGTGAGGAGCAGACGCCAAGTACCTGTGCAGAGAGGCTGCCAGGAGGAAACTCTGTATGATGAGTGGTTAAGGTCTTCATGGTCTTTAAGATCTGTTCCATATAGTAAGATTGTTTACGTTCTTTCAGATCTGGCCTTTCAGAAGTAGAGGAAACTGGTTATTTTGTGATCAAAGCATAGGCATACTTATTTTCTTCAAGTCACTTTATGCATATTGGTTAAACCCCAAAAATAAGACAAATTCATGGGGATTTGCATTATTCTAAGAAAAACAGCCCTTTCTGTATCAGACTTGTTGGGGTTTTTCTATTACAGGTATGATTTCTTTATTGTGAGTCAGGCAGTGAGAAACGGCTGCGTTGCACCCACTCATTATAACGTAATTTATGACACCAGCAGTCTGAAACCAGATCATTTACAACGTTTAACCTACAAACTTTGCCACATGTACTACAATTGGGCAGTAAGTATTTCTGCTGAGAAATGAGAATATGTTTTCTAAGATTGTCCATCTCTCTGTATTAACAACCCACAAGAAGGTAGAAAAAGGGCTCCAGTATCAAACATAAACCTGCCTAACGGGCTTTTTGGAGGGAGGAGGGGAATGGTGTTGGGAAGGTTTGTGCATCTATTCTCCTGTAAAGTGTGGTTTTTTAATGTGATCAGTGTATGTAATATTGTTTTCACAAATCTGCATAAACTGCAGGGAATAGAAATTTTAGATGTATCCAAACCTTTGAACTCCAGGACACTCTGTTACAGTGAATGCAAACTTATTTAAATGACTTGAAAATAATAATTTTTTTCTTTTTTTTTTTCCCTGCAGGGTGTTATCAGAGTACCTGCTCCTTGCCAGTACGCTCATAAACTGGCTTTCCTTGTAGGTCAGAGTATTCACAGAGAACCAAACCTGGTGCTTTCAGACAGACTTTACTATCTTTGAAGTTGAGTTACCAGCTGAAAAAATAGCGCAGTCCCTGTCTAGGGAATGTAGAATTGTGTGGGGTTTTGTGGGGGTTTTTGGTGGTGTTGTTGTGTTTCTTCTGGAGAGATGTGGGTAATGAGTAGCTGTAGTTGTGGAACTTCATTTTCATTGAAACAGGAGATCTGCATTTTGACGAGGTCTCTGCTTGCTATAAAAACTATATATTATTATTTTTAAATACTTTACTAAAGTGCTTCTGGGATTCTTCACAAAAGATTATCAGTTGTTACTTATGTTTTGGGGGAAATCTTACACAGAATTATTTTTGGCATGCAAGATCTATAGTTATGCAGACCAGACTTTTCCAGTTACCACGTTACACTTCTTTAATTTTCAAAATGCAATTTGTTGCTTCCTTGTTTTTCTTGGCTGTTAAAATGAGGGCACAATTTTCTCTCCTACGCTATTTTGTATCTTTACAAAGGGGTTACCAGCTGTTCTTGGTTATCAGGGCTCTTTGTTTTATGGCAGTTTCCCCCACCTGGGGAAGGATTCCAGCCCTTGCCCTTGTAGGTGATTTGTCGAGTGACCAGAAACTGCTGCTCTCACTTGTGTCTGCCGAGCGGGGGCAGCTTTCAAACTGCCGGAGCTGAGGGGTAGTTGTGGTACACTGAAGTTTCAGGAATGACTGTCAGAGGCAAAATTTATTTCTGTACAGCTTTGGGAACACCTTTATTATCTAAGGCTACAGTATTGTCTCGGCAAAAAGTGATGGCTTTGTCTAAGCTGGAGTGCTGTCTGGGGGCTGTGTGACAATTGACTCTCCTGCTGACAGGCTTTGTCTTGTAACTTCTTGTGTACTTACTACACAGTGGGAGTAAATTGTTTGAGACAATTGCAGGTTTGTAACTGGAATGAACTAAATCTTATGCTTGACACTGTTAACTGCGTGCTTGTTCAATGAGAAAAATGCCAGTACACTGATGTGCAAAACAGTAGAGAGTTTTGCTGTTCATGGGTTTTTTTTTGGTTGTGCAGTTCTATGTAATGGGAAATACTTAGGCCTTGGTTTGTATTGTACTTCTAAGGAGTTAATTGGTAACTGTTCAAGAGCAGTAGCTTAATTTTTAAAGCAAAGAGCAGTTGTATTGATGAAAGCTGACTGCAGATTTTTGCAGTCAAACTACTGCGTATGGAAGTACTTGGATTGGTGCTGGTTTTTTGTTGTGTTTTTTTTTTTTTTAAAAAACTGACTTGTGACATTTGTTCCTTTTCTTTGAGAGTATTAAATAAAGTTGTTTCTGTAATTGTTGCTTGGCTGATCCCGTTAGATGTATTTGGGTGCATCCTTCAAGACTGGGCTTTGGGCCTACTACGTGATGGGTGCGGGAGTAACTTTCTCACTAGTCTGTCCTTTGGAAAGCTCCTGGAGTCTTGCCTTTAGAGGAGCCTTTATTCAGCAGCTTCCTCAGCTCTGGAAAACAAGGGAGCTCTATAACTTGTATTTAGTTCACATTTTTTTCTTTCCTATGCTGAGAGAACTGTACCAACCTCCTCCTCCCACATGAAATTTGTTAAGGAGAGAAACAGGGGGCTTTTTTTGGCAAATTTTTTGGTCTTCCTGATGTCATACAGTGATAGCTTTCCCTATTCGCTACTTAGTGCTTTGTTATTTCTTTCTAGTAATGAATCACTTGCTTGTACCTGCTGTGGGTGTCCCTTCTGGTCTGGGGTCTGTCACTTGAGGTCACGGCCCAGGAGCCCGTGCAGGGGGCAGGACACGGCCGCTGCGGGTGCAGTTTGAGCACGGGGCCTGTGTAACCCCTCTCCCCAGCCAGGGCCTCGCTGTTGGCCTCCAGCCCTTCAGAAGGGTTCATCCAGCACCTGATACAGTAGATTCATCACAAAACATACTGCACTCTACAAAATATCAAATTATTTATTTATATAAAATATAATACACAACAGTTGTACACATGCACACACCCACACAGTACTTTTTACCACAAATTTAGGCCAGTTATTTTCTTTAATTAAATGTTATAATCTAGCACACGGTATCTTACAGTAATTTACATTATTATCTGAAGACACAATGGGGAAGCTTTGATCATTCATTTATAAACCTTCCATAAATTACAAAAAGAAAGGCAGTCTGAAAAGTATGTATAAACAGTAAAAACAATTTACAAATGGACAAGAATTACAAAATAGTAACAGCCAATGACTGCCATCAATGTGTAAGATTGTTTTTATTGAGATGCCAATATTGCAATTAATATTTGATTATCAGCTGTTGCAGCTTTATTACTGGCTACGGCTTAGTGTATATAACACAGTTTTCCACTTTTTAGACATGCACTTTATCTTGAATCTGACATTATCAATATGAAAATGCCTTTTATCTTAGGACTGTATCTCCACAGGAAAAAAGTTGGGGAGTAAAGGTGTTTTTTTATTGTGTTTGTTAAGGGTCTGGTTTTCACCCCCCCCAGTAATTTAGAACAGTGAACCAGGAACTCCAAAACTGGAGGCTGTACGGTACAAAGTGGGCACGGCTCCGAATAACTTACTGTATCTGATTGCAGTTGAGTGAAAATGTTGACAAAAGAAACCAATACAAGGGGTTTGGTTGGGGGGAAAAAAAAAAAAAAGGCAAAAACCAAAAAGAGCATTTTGCACAGCACTTTCAAACTCCCAGGAGTTACATGAGACATTGAATGGAGTCAGTAACATAGTACTTGATCTGAAATTACCATGTTTTAGGGGAGATGAAGACAGTTGAATACACAGTACATACAAAGTATACGCTGTATATTTATTAGACAGTACAAATCATTGTGCATTAATAAGGCAAAACATCAAGGCTGATTAAACTAGGAGTTTCAAGACCATTTTTGTTTGTGATAAAGATTAGATAGAGTGGGGTGGTCTCTCTGAACCAGGACTCAATGGATAGAGTTTTCTTCCCCCCACTTGTGGTTAAAGGAGACTAAAGGCTGAGATCTATCCAATGGAGTTGCAGGTGTTGAGTTGACTTCAAATAAAACCATTTCCTTTTTTCTTGCTGTTTGATTAAGCAATTCACATGATTCTATTGATGTCAGAGTTAAAAATGCAATACTGCATAGTCATGAAAGCCCTAGTTTTGACGTTTTAAAAAAAAAATAATACACAGACTGGAAGCTTTACAAGTTGTCCAGGAGCACATGAATCATTTCACTGCACCAAGCTTTTTCAGCAGTTTCTTGCCTTTGGAAAGCAGCCCCTTTTTCTTTTTCGAGGACATATCCCTGCCTCTCCCGGGACTACCAGAACCCATAGGTGACGTAGGTGACCCAGAATGGAGATGAACTGTGGGGGATGGTGCTCTCCGGGATGTACCTGTATTCTCAGGAGGAACCTATTAGGTACATTGTTATAATTTATTGAATGTTTGAAAGCTTAAAAGCTATCATCATCAAGAAAGTTGGTAACATCACTTGTCCCATTACCCACTTAAACAAAAGGGCTGATTCCATTCTTCTTTGTGGCTTAAAATACTGCATGGGCTTACGGAAAATACATAAATTTTGAGAAAAAAGGATAGGAAATAGAAAACACTCCAATAGAGCCCTGGTTTGGTTATAGTTTTTTAAAGAAAGAGTTGGATACATTTGTTTTGTCATAGTTCTGGCCACAGAAGCCACAAAACTGGGTTTTGCATTTCAGTACTCTGATAGTACAAAAATGAAGAGGAATACTTTTAGCTATAGATTTAAGAAAAATAAATGTGTTAATTATTACAGATTAACAAGTAGCCAAACTTTTCAGAAGAAATTGCTTAAAATGCTACATGATCACTTATTTTTTTAATGTCCTTTAAATGCCTTTTCTTTAAAATTGGATAGCAAACTTTATGTACATATTTGAGAAGATGGCACACTGGCTTAAAAAAAAAAAAAAAAAAGGAAAAAGAAAAAGCTAAAATGAACCTTAATTGCAATCAAAGAAAGCTTAAAGACCCTGACTGCTTGATGTGTGTGCTGCAGCTATGAGGTTGCTGAATGGAGGTGAATATTTGTACGACAGTTAGATGACAGCATTCCTAAATATCTTAAAACAGCTATTTTTTTCAATCATCAAAAGCACTTGAATGAAAATGCTAAAACTACTTATACTCAGCCTAACCTAAGTACAGTGCCTGGCTGACAGGAGGTGATGCTATCAGTTAAGATGATAGTTTCATAGTAGAATCCATGCCTTAGGGACCCTGGTATCTTGTAGTTCAAGTTAAAACATTAGCAATTTACTGGCTTGTGCAACAGTGAGTTAAGCAAAGGGGCTTCAAGCCTACTTTGATTTTAAATCAAGGTCTAGTTCTAATGAAAAAAAAAACCAAAACAAAACCAACTTGGTAAAGCACCCCAACGTACACCTGAAGATACCATATATTTAGTCTAATGCATTCATTCAGTGAGCTGCATGTTTCATACTGAGACTTTTATTGCATTGGTAAACCAAACAGTTGCTAATATTTCAAATGTGCACTTTCTAGGAAAATCTGAGTAAATTGTACCGTATGAAGGGATTTTTTTTCAGAATTGTTGAATAGTTGGTCTTAGGCAAAGTGGGTATAATCGATTATGGAAAACACATTTTAAGGCAGACAATTTAAGTAGCTATATTTGAGTGTAATGAGTTTCAAAACCAACTATACCCTTGTAAACTACCGTACGTATCCGCTTACGTTTCAGTTTTATCCTCTTTAAGGGTTGGGGATGTTGTGCTTTTCTCTCGATGTAGGAGCTTGGAATTTTTACATCCCAGGTTGGCTAACAATGCAATATGCAGCTTTTGTTTGTAGGGTAGTTAGACATCAAACTCTCCTTTCTATGTAAACATAAACAGTTCGCTCATGAAGAAATATGTTCCAAACATTGACCTTCATAAAGTGAGGTCTAATCCATGTACTTCTAAAGATTCCTTTTTAAAGGATTTGTCTCCTAAAAAGACCTAAATTGACTTGGCTAGATACAATGAAAGCAAACAGCCTACTCTGTGGCCAAGGATTTTGGAGACATATTTCTTTTTTTTTTTTCCCCCACAATTAAGTTTCAAGACTTGCATTAGAGAGCCAGGTAGCTTTAATTGAAATCTCTATTGGTATCTTCAGTTGCTCACTTACGTGAAGGCTACATTGCCTTATTAAGGTGTGAAATGAACACTCTTCTTCTGTTTCCAAGCAGATGAGCAAAGAAATAAAAATATATATAAAATATATAATATATAAAAGTATTGCAGTGATGAAACAAAACCAAAAATGAGATACTCTAAACAAGATTAGTCTTTCATAAAAGAGAAGTCTCTGGGCAATTAACTAACGCCAGTTGGAAGGGGAAGTCATACGGATTACAAGGAGAGCACTGTCTGGGCTGCAGTTACTGCTTCTACCAGTCTTTTGTCCACAAGAACTTTGCTTCCCTCTAGATACTGCACACAGTAAGAGGAGCTCTAGGAGCATTAGGAAGTAACTACTTGCACCAGGGAAAAGCTGTTTAAACTCCAAATATAACTGAAGGTACTGTAATGACCGCAATCAAATGGTAAATTTAGTTTCTTCATTTACAAAGGTAATGAGCTAGTGGAAGGCTAAGTCAAGTCATTTTTATGTTTTGTTTTTATATATTTGAAAGTTAATTTTAAACGAGCAAATGTATTTAAAATGTTAAAAGTAATGTCTAAATTATATATGAGACAGAACGGAATGGAAAATAAAAATTTAAGATTTTCTTATTCGGTTGCTTACCCTTTTTGCTTTTGTACGCGTCGGTGTATCGTGAACGTATCGCGCGGGTGCATCAGAGAGATAGACCTCAACATCATCAGGCACTTCTTCAAGGAAGTTGGAAGGAACCAGCCCCTTTTGTCCGTTAAGTTCACCCTGCAGCATGATGAAAATGTCAGTTAATGTTTCAATTAAAGGAACTGCTGGTTCCCAAGAAGGCAAGGAAATACTGTGACTATTTCAAAGCCAGAGAGGGAGATGAAATGTCCATCTAAGGTCACCTGGAACCTTAAGAGCTTACACCCTTTTGAAGGCCACGGGAGCTGGTGTGTGTAAGGGAGAGCAGATGCACCCGTGTTGTTCTTCTCTGCGCCGTGGAGACACAGGTCTCAACAGGGGTCACTTCTACAATGTATTGGAGAGAGAGAGCTGGGGCTGTTTCTGTGGCCCAGCCCGTGTGGAAATGGAAAAGGCACATCCCAGCTGTGGCTGGGCAGCTGCTGCTGACTTGCCCGTTCAGCTGGACAAGCAGTGCTGGAACACTGTCTCCCTGACCACACTCTTCACTTACTAAGGAAATGGCATTAGTACAATTGGATAACCAGTGCTTAAAAGAATAGTGAAATGTTTTAGTGATTTAATCAAATAAATTTTGTCAGTGACAGCCTCTCCCGAGGTGGTTTTCTCCCACGTGAAACTCCTTACCTGTTACAAGTCATTCCTGTGTTTGCAAAGATCAAAATGCACATTTTCCAGCAAATAAATGGGGCAAGTATTACTTATAAACCAGCAGCAGCACCTCTGAGCTGCTGAACACCAGTCCCTGGAGCGATGTGCCGAAGGGACAAGAGTGACCCCTCTGGGAGTGACACAACGAGCTGCCCCCCCCCCCCCCCCCTCCTCACTTTGAAATCGCCGCCACGAGGTTGATAACTCCAGCTCCTGCAGAGCGCTCTGACCCTCTGCAGTGCTTTGACGTGACCAAACAGAAGCCAACTCACATAGTAAAATCCATCTTCATCAATTTCACCAAAGACAGTGATAATGTCCCCGGTGCAGAACGTCAGCTCGGCCTGCAGAGAAAGGAACAGGTGACATGTTTGGTCAGGCAAAGGTTAGCACTGGCTTCATTCCTAGTAAATAAATATTTACTAATATAAGTAAATATATACTATAAGTAAGTAAATAAATAAGTATAAATAAATAAGTAAATATATAATATAAGTAAATTAATCTTTTCCCTCTCCTTTATGCTAAGACACAGTTGGTAAAACCTACTTTGAGAGCAAAACCTTTTCTTTTTTTCTTAAATGTACTTATTTTTCCTTTAGCTTGCTAAATCTGGCACCTCTCCCACTAGGTTCCAGCTAACAATCAGCTATTTTTAACTGAAGAGCTAGCTATTGCTCAGTTGTTATTAAAAAAAATAATAAATTACAGACAAGCTGTACATTCACGAAAGCTGCGCTGCATCAATTCAGAGAAAGAAATACAATATATGATGGGTGCTGTTCTGGGCTGTATTGTCCTGGTGTGGGCTGGGGAAGTAGAGAAGTCCTAAGTGTGTGGTGGACATCTGCCTGAAAACATTTGCCCAATGTTTGTTATTCTGAACTAGTATTTTTTTTTGCCCCCCCTGTCACTGTCCCCTGGTGCTCAGGGATGGATGCCAGCGCCGTTCTGGCCCCGCCAGCGGTCCCCAGAGTGAACAGTGACACCGATACCTCTACGTCAACGTTTGGAGAACTTTCTCTTGGGTCGTAGTCGTACAGAGCCACCATCCTGCGCGTGGGCACGGAGTGCTGCCTGCCGCTCCGCCTGTTCCTTTCTGCTCCGGTCACAAGGAGAGGAAGGGAAGGAAAGCTATCAAAGTTATTTTGAAAAGAAAAACAAAGCGCAATTTTTCCCCACGTCATTTTCACAACAGCACAGTGACAATGTTGGTATTTCTCTAGCACAGAGAGAAAAGGTCACAGATTACCAAACCTATTCACGCAGACAAAGGTTTCAAAGCAGCATGTACGTTTCATAAATAATTATTTAACAGGTGACTTGCCCTCTTCAGTCTAAACCACTGAACCCTGTATTTATCTGCAAAACTAACCTTCCAAAATTTTCGGCCTTTCTTGGTTGTAAGAATCAGAGCTTACCAGGGTACACAAACAGCCAAACATTCACAATTCATGTCGGTTTCACTTTATTCAAACTTCCACATTTAATGTCTGTTCCCGCTCCCCCCACCCCAATCACAAGGAATTTTGTGCCTGGGATTATTCTTCAACTTTCTGCTGGGAGACTGGAAGGAGAAAGGGACACTCTCAGCCGGCCCAAGACAAAAGAGGCTCCCCATTATGCAAATGGTCTGCCGTATTTTCAAGACTTGAATGCAAAAAAACAGATTCTGAAATACTGTTTAATTTTGCAAATTTCCTTCGGGGGGAACAGAAGGAAAGGAGCAAAATCTGTAGCTTCCAAAAAACCACAAGAAATGTTTATTGGTTGATATTAAACATTTACAGAAGTCCCAAGGGGGCTTCATTTCAAATTCGAATGACATGAGCATGATTCTTGCGGATGATTTTGCTGCAGCAAGAGAAACATGCTCGTTAGTGCTACTTACAGACAGGCATCGAGGGCGGGTGTGGTGAGCGCTGGGGAGGGACAGGACACAGGAGGGGGTGCGGGCGCCCTGCGGCCTCTGCGGGAGGGGGAGGCTAAAGGCGGGTGAGGTCGGAGCCAGGGCCGGGGGGAGCGTGTGCTCGGGGCCGGCCCCGCACCCACCGGCTGCCGCTGAAGCGTTGGGTCAGAGGAGATCACTTACTCTCGCAGTGGGTGGGTTGGGTTTCCCAGCCACCCACCCTGGGGATTTACAGCGAGGAGGAGGAGAGAGCCAAGGTGAAGGCAGGGGCTGTACGAGAGGCGGGACGCCATCCCCCCGTTCCCAACAGCCTGGATCAACCCCAACCTCAGAGACTCTTTCCAGTGTGGAGACTGCTCCGGGGCAAGGCGCTGCCCGCGGCTCGGGGTCTAGGGCCCCTCTACGATCGAGAAAAGAATCCAGAAAGGATCCTAGGCCTAACTGCTACCTGACAGCATCTTCCAACTTCTGGTTTCCGAAAGTTCAAAGGCATTAAAAGTAACTCTAGACAGCTCAAATCATTTCAGCTAATTTACAGCTTGAATCAAATGATTGGTTCTTAGCACAGACCTCTTTTAGACTTTCTGGATCTGCGGTGTACAGAGCGTGTGCTCTCTTTGAAACGGTCACAGTTGACTTCAGGAAAGGAATGCATACAAATAAAAGAAGAAAAGATATGAAGCTGTTCAAAGTTCTGTTTTTAAGGATTTAATGTGGGCAAAGGATTAAGAAAAATATAGTCATATGAACACAGCATGTAAAGTGTCTGATATGACATTAAAAATATGAGTAACAACATGAGACAGACTGGCAATTAGAGCCTGTTTCTGCTGAAAATCCACGTGGGCAGCCTCTGTGACAGCGAGGGCCTGAGCACGTGGATTTCTGCTGTCCAGAATTCGGATTTAGTTCAAAATTAAGCCAAACTAACTATTCTTTCCAAATCTGTTAGTAAAAGCATTTGTTGGTTTTGGTTTTTAAATGGCTAACAATTTAAATCCATATTAAAGTGAAAATACATCATGTTTTTAAAGTGCTAAAATATTTAAAGGTGAACTGCTGGGGGTAGGTTGCTAACAGTTCGCTCAGAAACATCCCAGAATAAAAAGAATTGCTTAAAAATATAAGGCAGGGCAACATTTCTGTCACAAACTGCCTCTCCCTCTTTCCAAGACAAAGACTTTCAGGTATCTCAGCTATTTCAGGAGACACTGCCAGTCGAGCACAACCAAAAAATCCAGTTCTGTTCACAAACCATCCCTGTCAGGCAGCAAACCCTGCGCGTTCGGGAGCGATGCACATCAGTGGGCTCATTTTCACAAGTGTTCTCTACCAACAACTTCCTGACTTAAGACCTGAGAGCGCTGAGCAGGACTTGAAGCAGCGAGTTTCAATCAGGAAGATACTTTCTGTACCCACGTGTGACCCCGTTGCTAGAAGCAGACAGATCTTTAGCCAGTTCCTAATGCCATCAGGCCCCTGGTTCTTTCCAGTGGCACCTGGGGCGGGTGGGGGGAGCTCGTTCTGACAGACCTCAAACGATGCAGACCCACGCGCAAACGAGGACTCGTGCAGCCAACCCACTCGGGCACATCCCCAGGTCCCACCCTGTGCCCACCCCACGCTTCTGTCTGTCGACGTAGGTGCAGGGGGATCAGGGGGATGTGCTGGCCCTGCAGGAGCAGCCGGGACTGGGGCTTACAGGCGCGGGTGGGAGGGAGCACTGGTTGTATTTATGTGGCGTAAGTAAATAAATACACAGATTGGAATTAAGTACTCAATTAAGAACTTAAATCATCCTTCCCTTTTGTGGACAATGGAGAATTAAAAAAATCTCAAAAAAACCAAGAAACAAAAAACAAAAAACAAAACCATAATTTGTCTCACATTTACTAACATGATTTTGGAAACGATAAAGTTTTATTCAATCTAAGAAAAAAACTGTGGAAGATTTGGTTTTTTTAGCAACCACTTTTACAGTTCACTTTTAAACAGGACCAAACCAATTCCAGCCCCTTATACTTTCTGTAGCACGTTGAAAATTTTAGAACATATTGAGATAGTTGTTTGGAATTTTATTTGTAGAAATAAATCTAAATTCAGATACTTGCACTGTGTATCTGCGTACAACACCGAACCAATGATGTAACACAAGTGGTTCATAATATAGAACTGTTTGTCCAAACTCTGCTTTTTCAAGGGTTTGTTACTGCAATAGTCGTAAAATCTCGTAATATGTAGTGCTATCCCAGATGAGATTACACATAACCCTTTGCCACCATCCCTTTAAATTACTGGTAAAGTAGGAAAATGTAGAATAAAAATAACAACAAATAAGTGATTCTTTTTATGCTTTGCAGCAGTGAGCGTATCACAAAGCACCTCAGCACAGCACACTCCAAAGCACAGGGATCATGTTCTGTGTCTAGAAATCTTTCAGGTGACAAAACCCTTTTTTTTTTTTTTTTAATAAGAAAAGAAAGTAATGAGTGGAGTGGTGAAGATACAAGTCCTCATTTGCAGCAAAAGATGTGACCAAGATTAAATATTAGTTGAATAAAGTCATCCAGATACTGACACAGAATGTATCCCATGGTGTAGTAAATTGCTGTAAACTTTAGATGCATCTGCATATTGTAAAAACAAAAGGCAAAGCAGATCCAGCCATGTTAATAGCACCCAAAAGTTAGGAGAAAGGAAGCATATATATTTTTCCTTACCAATTTTCTCAACTGGTGTGTTCAAAGGAAGAAAGCCTTGCTTTAGAAGTTGATCCATCATCTCTTCATCATCTGCTTGAATCTCAGAGACCATATTACATGGGATAAGGCCAATTCTTGTACAGGTTTCTCCACGATAGAATCCATCAGCATCTTTGTCCCCATAAACCTGTTATTCAAAGAGTGATAATGTTGGTCAATAAAGGTTTTAGCATTTTGGGAATTTTAATACAGGCCAAATGGTTGCTAAAGCACAGGCACACGACTATGGTTTGGATATGGAATTATATCAGTTTTGGACTACTCTGACTTATGTTACAAAACTGGAATTGTTATGTTAATTTGAATTATGACTTCAGATACATAAGCAGAATTTGGACGTTTTTTGTTAGTGGTGAAATGCACTGAAAATGAGGGACACCACTAGAAGTCACCAGTTTCTCCCTGTGCAGAGCCACGAGCACACTGAATGGTTTACACTTGGGCTTATGGCATTATTCACACAGCACCAGTCTCGGAGCCACATGAGCTTATTCAAAATGAAGCATTTGCAAAACCGAGCCAAATGTTGTTACTTTGAATAGAACAACTTGCGTATGATCAAATATGCCTAATGCTTAATATACTTGATTAGATAGATCTAATATTTAGTATACTTGATACATGTACTTACTTAAGCGACGCTATTTCATTCCAGAAAACATGAATCAAGGTATTAAAAGAGCATCAATTTTCACCATGGAGAACTGGTAAATCCCAAATTTCTCTTAAATTCTAAGAACCTCTGGAGGGAAAAAACCCCTTGGACTCTGGTCATGCAAGTTGTTTTCTCCACAGGGAACAAAGGAGACCCTGTTTGTAAAACTGGGTCTCCTTTGTTTCCTTTGTTTTTAGATCCCACCTTAATGATCTGTCCTTCTTTAAATGGCAGCTCTTCTTCTGCAGCATCCGGATTTGGGGACATCGTCAGCGGATCGTAGTCGAAAAGTGCAACAAATATTCTGGTAGTTATATCCTCTGTGCCAGGATCCGTTTCTGATTCTTCATAAATATCAGGAGAAAGATGGTCATGACCACCATAGCCATCTATGAAAATAAATTCAGAAAAGAACAATTGAGTGATACAAGTTGGCTTCATCTTTCAACTGTTCCAGTTAATGTCTGAAAAATGTTTCGCATTTCAGTGAAAAAAAGCCAGTAACTGAATGCATATTCTATTAAGTTTGGTGGGGTTTTTTTAAGTTATTGTTTAAAAAGCATATATAATTTGCATGCACTCCATGTGGTGTTCATCTCCTACACCACACTGACATTTACACACATGAATACAGCTCAGGTAAGAAAGCGCTTTTTGTTAGGTTTCCCAGAGTTTGCCATAAAGTAATGAGCATGTTAAGAGTGACAGGATGATGAGTCTGACAGGCTTTATCATTACTGCAAAAATAACCATGCTTTGGATCAACTTGTTTTCCAGCACAGCTGCTTCTGCTCTTCATGGACACAAGAAAGCACATCCCAGCTGTGTTGACATCCCATGTTTTAGGTACAAGGTTTAAAACATGGTTATAACCTCTTCTCTCCAGAGAGGCAAGAAGAAATGTACTTCAGTACCGTTAGTTATGGCAGGGCTGGGACTGCACTGCCTGGGATTTTGTGTAAACACTGTCAGTAGTTAACACAGCCAGCAGTGCCCAAACCAACCCAAACGCTAATGAGAGGCGTTAAAATCCGGGAGGAACGATTAGCTATGACTGCATTTAACCATAAGCTCATTAAGAAAGATCATCCATGAATTTCACTGAATTTCACTGAATTTCACTGAATTTCACTGAATTTCACTGAATTTCACTGAATTTCACTGAATTTCACTGAATTTCACTGAATTTCACTGAATTTCACTGAATTTCACTGAATTTCACTGAATTTCACTGAATTTCTAGAGTTGGAAGGGACCATAGAGATCATCTAGTCCAACTCCCCTGCTGAAGCAGGATTGCCTAGAGCTAGAGCATGTTACTCAGGACAATATCACAACACTTAACACTGCACTGAACTCTGTCTACTGCAGGGTAGCAAATCAATTAGGACATAAAAAATGAGAACTGACATTTTCTCTCGTACATCTTTCAGGCTTTTCAAATGATCTGGAGAATGTGTTTAGTCCATGATTCAACAACATACCTAAAGATGGGCTTCAGTAAAACTGAATTAGAAAATAAGGCCAAAGTGGCTAACAATGAGTGGTTTGATTGACAGCTTTCAAAGGCTTTTAATTTTGTCTTGAAAGAGCGTGCACCTTCCCAAAAAACAGGCTCTTTCAAGACACATGAAGTTGAACTCCCCAAAAATAAAGCCATCAAAATCACAACCCACTTCTGAAAAACCTGGTTTGTCCTGCTAATTTCAGTGGGAGTCAAGTACTTTTGATCTTTGGTGAATCAGCACTTCTCATCCAGTTTACAAGATCCTTCAGAATTAATAAATTCAAAAAGCAGTTATGAATTATGATGAAAGTGTAGTTCAACTATATAATTTTTTTTCCAAACAATTTTCATATTAATACAATTTTTACTCTGATCATCTCTTACAAATTAGTGACTCCCATTTTTGGTTAACAGTTTGAACATTCAATATGGAGCATTATAGATAAAATTCCTCATTTTGCCTCAGTATCAGATGCATTTTATTCAACATTTGATATTTTTAAACTACCAGAAAAAAATTTTCAGAGGGTCACAGCTTCAAGGGAACGGCTACTAACTCTTGGGTCCAGAGTGCAAGAAAAATGTGAATAGGGAAAAATGCAGAATAGCAAAAGGGCAGGGAAAAATTCCAGCCAAGAAGCTTTAGGCAGGCACAAAGCACAGAAAGGAAGTATGGGAGAAGGGCACATGTGGGACAGAAAGCAATGGGACACAAAGGATGGGATATTTCTCTGTTCTGTTCTCCCCTTGCAGTCAGGCTGCAGTCATTCTGGGCCCACCAGGCAATGTGAAGCAGGTGGATTAAGGGGTGTTTTGCTTTTTAAATTAAAAATACTGATTTTTGCATCCAACTGCAACTGCAGTTAATGAGGGTTAGGTGCAAAGATGAATTATAGCCAAATGTATCTCTGTTAAAAGCACTGGTCTGTAATAATCTGAGTCAGAATAGACATCTTTGCTTCTGTGAACCAGGAAGCAAATAATCTCTTGATTAGTGCACTAGCCACTTCTCGTATTCTTTCAAGAGGTATATACCTATTTCATACATATATATGCACACATATATTTGTATGTGTAAAATCTTAGTCTTTGGATGCAGCCAGCCAGATTCCCAACTGATGCACAGTTGCACACACAGTTGCATTGAATTCACTAGATAAACACCAATATAGACAAGCTGAGGACCTGTCAGATATGTTTGCTTTGGAACTCAACATTAAATTATGGTTTACCTAAACTTCCAGGACCCCTTTTGTTTCATTTCAGGTATCAACAAAACCCTAATGTATTTCTTAGCTCTATATATGGCCTGGGCAGTTCTATGGGTTAAGCGTCAGGCACTTTAATTTACCGTGTTATGAACTATGAAAACTGAGTTGATCATGCAATGATTTCTATGTTGATGAAGCAACAAATACTATCAGTAGGGGGTATAACTGCCTTACTCATGTAATACAAGTTTGTCATTACGATATAATTATCCCTAAAAGTAAGAGTAATTTTTGTCTTCACCAAGTGGAACAGCCAAAGTCCTGTGTGGTCATTGAAAAGACCCTGAATCTTCCTTTAGCCCAAGCCCTAAATCAGAATAACGTTTGGTAACTGCCTCCTGGGTTGTGGATTGTGATGTTCTGCCTACTGTTTGTCCCTGGCCCGTCTGTATGAATCGAGTGGAAATGTGGTCATTCTGATGAATGGTTGTTCAGGTGTGTACAGTAAATACTGACTGGCATTAGTAGCAGCATAGCTTCACAGAGGTTCATGCAATGCAGTGTGCTTGGACTCAGTCAAGTATGGAAAGGTGGCCGCACAGCAGTTCCAGGACAGAGGACTAAGGGCTGTTTGTCCCTTACAGCTGAGCTGGAGAAACTTACCTGAGAGCAGACAGGACTTAAGAGCTAGTTCCCCTGCATTCTGCATTGCATGCAATGTTGTCATACAGAAACCGCACTTGTTAACACGCAGCTCTAAAATGTGTCTGTCACAAAGGATGAATAACGTTGGGCATACCGTATCTATATTCAGAGGCCATGGAACGCTGCTGAGGCCATTTCTTGTGTCCACCAATGCTGCGATAATAAGCTTCTTCTTTTACAGGTGAAATATTTCCCTCACTACCTGACCGAGACCGACCGCCTTCACTGTTACTGTCCATTGTAATTTCTATGGAGAAAAAGGGAATGATCTATTAAAACATATTGTATAGCTGCCTTCGCGGAGGCTCCTGCGGGCAGGCTTTGCCTACCTTTTGTTCTGATTTGCATATAGTAGGAAGGCTAAACACTGCATAAGCTTTGCCAGATGTCTCAGCCTCTAGAAATCCTTCTTCAGCAGTGGAATGACAGAAATGGGCGTCTCCTTTTTTTTCTAAAGCATCTGAATTTTGCGCTTTTTAAAATTCATACAGTGTAAATATTGTTTGTTAGATCTTTGATAGGAATCATCTTTTATTATGAGGTTTAAACAATCCTACCTGCCAGATCTGCAAGGTCAAGAGCACTGTAAACTGTGTTTCACCTTCTAAAGTATCAACCTAAAAACAAAAATTAATTAATTTACTTAAATCCTACCTTCAATAAGATACTAATCCAAAGTATTTATAGCTTAATGGAGAAAATATCTCAAAGAATTTAAATTCTGGAACATTTTGGAGACAGGTTTTATCACTGAAATCCTAAAGACATTACAATTTTGAAGGTGTTTCCCACTAATTTAACCTCCCAGAGCTGCCTTTAGAACTCTCCAACTTTAGAGTAACCATTTAGCTGAATAACAGTAAAAACTCCAGGCATACACGTAAAAGAATAAGCTACTGCCAAGAAATCTGAAATCCACATTGTTGAGCCATATGCTGATGCCAACAACAGTTTCCTGTATTTAAGCAGCCTAAACTTTGGCTCAACCGTATTTATTTTCCTCTTTCCTTTCACTTTCCTCTGCTTTTCACATTGTGGATCTACATATTATAATGACACAACTAAAATAATTTCCTTCTTCAAAACCCATACTTGCAGCCCTTATTCATGGGAAACTTCCTCTGTCAGTGGGAGTTCTGAACAGCGGGTGCAAGTTCAGACAATGCTCCACTATATGCTTTTGGATGCCCTACTTCTACCACACTTTATTTATCTGAACTCTTGATACATTTCAGATCTTGTAGATTTTTTTCCAGCAGGATTTTGTGTAGAGTTTTATCAAGTGTTTCTATTTGTTTCCCTTATCCTCAAAGTGATTTATTACAGTAGGATGCTGAAAGTGAGATATATCGCATACATATCTTTCAGCAATTTTAAACACTAGTCTTTAATTCAGAAATTTGGATTCTTGAACTCAAAAACACATAAAGCCTTTCAACAGCTCCACAGCAAATCATTTTTTGTTAGATGCTGTACATAATGCTCAGTAGTTTGCTTGCTACCGGTGTTAGACAGTATTTTTTAATTAAAAAGTAACTTAAAGGATTGATTCAAACCTGTCTACTCTCTTGCTGTTAATAAAAAATGTTTTAGTAGATAATATAAAAGAAAGAGCTTAGATACAAAACTTGCTTTAAGTGGTCCAAACATAAACCAGAAATCTTTACTCCTGAGAAAAAAAGGCTGCTTTCAGAGAAAAAGAAAAAGGACATGAAAATCTAAGAGTCTTCACACCACCATCCAAAAGCTACTGGGTTCAGCTAACAATAACCCATCAACAGAAGCACAAGAGCCTCCCTGGAGCCGATTCTCCCCCATACCATTTTCATACCAGTGTAATTCCATTGACATCTGTGACGATTATCCTGATTTACACCAGGATGTGGGACAGGAATCAGTCTCTGACCAGTCATGCTATAGCAGAGACACTGAGAAAGTTTCATACATTACAGCTATGTGTGCTTTCTGATCTATGGTTTCAATAACAGTAATTACTATCTACTAGATACCAAAACAATTGCACCCACTAGAGGGAGTTTGCTTTTCATTTACAGTACAGGCACTTTAGTGTGATTCTATGAAAAGAAAAAAATATTTACTATTTAAAAATAAAGGCATTTCTCAATGATCAGTCTCTTTCCTTCTGATAATCTGCATTTATAATGTCTGTTATTCACACAAATGTCAGGTGAGGTTTGCCTGGCACTGCTTCCTTCTCCTCCTGATGATGCTTACAAGTATTCACAAATTCAAGTCCAGGTTAGGGATGGGAACTGGACCGACTTTACATTTTTACGGAGTCAAGTTCTGCTAATAGCTCACAGAACTCTTTCTGCATCTGTTTTGCATGTTTTTCCTGATTGTCAGTGCGAATGTTTCTCATTTGTCAGTATAGAGTGCAAGTTTTAACAGATATGTATTTGTCCATAGTGTATTGATTCCATTATCTTTTCTGCACTACTTTTTGGATTTTCTGGTATATACCAGCATATAGTTTAAGTCATAAGTAAACCAGAGTAGAGATGATTCTGTAAGAAATATCAAATCTAGTAAATATATGCAAATTCTACTAACTTGGTATATTTAACCACTTCCATTTTTCCTGCTAAATTCCAAAAAGTAGTCAAGAAAATGGAAAGTGAATGCAAAATGATGGTTGATGAATGGAAAGATGGATGGCTGAATGGATGGCTGAATGGGTACATTTATTTTACTGATCATATAGTAGCCTGCCTGCAAATTTCATCTTAGGTAAGATCTAACAGTATCTAAGCTTAACCACGCTTAGGAAAGCTCCAATACCCACTAAATTCAATGAAAAGTCTCCCAGTGATGTCAATGACTACTGATTCAGCCCCTGTGAGACCCCGGTACACTCATATTTAGATGGAGATGTTTTTGGTTCCATTTCATCCCATTTAAACTAAGAGCAACCATGGTTTCAGACAAGCGTCTGTGGTTTCTTTTTTAAGGACCACCTTCCCAACTCTGAGGCTGCAAAGAACAGAAATGCACCAATCTGTCCAACTAACCAATGGAAGGGACCAACATTGGTCGAGACCTTTGTGGCACTGCACTGCCATGAGAGGACCTTCGCCCTGCATGCTCCGCCCTTTCAGGCCGTCCTGCAGATGATGGATTACCTAAAAGCTAAAAAACAACAACAGAAAAAACAGGTTTGTAAGTTACATGCATGGTAACATTATGGTTATATGGTTGGACATTAATCAGGTCAATCACATTTGGAAGCATAAGCTCTAAAGGCAACTAAACTTAGTTTTTAACTGAAAGGTTAGCTGAAAAGAAAATACTGTTGCCTGGCAAACCTGCAAAAGAAAAAATGGTTTCCTGATTTATGGCAGAGTTTTTTAACCAGCAGTCACACATCAGAACAAAAAGAAAAGAAAATAATAATTTTTGAAATATTCTTTTGCCTTTGTTGTTGCTGCTAAGATGACGTTTTAATCTCCTGAAGAGCAGTACAACCAGTCATGAGAGCTGTGGAGATTGGACTGCACTGAAACGACAAGCCTTTTGTACTTGGCTCTACAGCCTTGTCCAGTTTGCAGCATGTGAACAAGTGTACGTCCTTCTGCCTTGGAGCACACTGCTCTTCTAGCATGGCCTTCGGGTGGTACAGCTCTTTAAAGGTCATGGAAACATGTAGAAGGGAATGTAGACACACTTCATCTCACATCACAGCTGTCTCCTTCTGTTCACTACCCTTGCAGGAAACGTTGCTATTTTAATAACTAAATGGTACTATTTTAATGCTCTCCAGAGTTTATCAAGCAGTCATTGAGATTAATACAGCTTGGGCACCAATTTAATGGGAGAAAATTTTAAGGATCATTTCAGCATAAACTGCTAGGGTTGAAAAGCAGAGAGCTGATTTCTACTCTTACATGAAACACATTAGATTGGAGGTTTCCACTCTGGACTGTTGCAGACTGAGAGGATAAAGAACTCGCTCTGCTCTTTAGGGAGCAGGGAAGCCTATGGATGCATCTATCAAAGCGTGGAGACTCTGCTACAGATTAATGGACAGAAATGCAAATAAGCAAGATCACGCAGAGGCATCCTTGAAAGATATGGGATGGCCCTGGCCTCTCCCTTCGAAAGAAGCCGTTTGCCTGCATTCTCACGCAGAGATGCAGTCTGCAACTTCAAAGGCAAGAAGAGATGGTCTAAAAAGGAAGGCAAAGTAGTGACAGTGCAAAGATAAGGCAGAAAATGGAAATATGATGAAATCCGTGACTCCATAAATCTGGGTCACTGTCACACTGGGGGAGAATCTTGATTTTTGTCCAGAGATGTTTCATGATAAAGAGCATATCCTGAAAATTCTGGGAATGAGGTGAATACAAACAAACATGATTAAATGAATTCCTTGATGTTAAAAAAAAAAAAAAAAAAAAAGACTGATGAAATATTTTTCCACTTAAAATGCAGCTTTTTAAAAAAGCAACATTTAGATGGGCAAAATAAAGAAAAACAACACTTTGGAAAAATTATAGTTCAGCTAACCCTTAATTAAAATTTAGATTCAGTTGTCCTTTAATAAAAGCAGCCATTATTGTAATTTGTTCTGTGGGGAAATCATTGTTAAGCAAATTAAACTGATTTCAGCATGACACAAAAGAGGACTGTAAAGGAAAATGCAGAATAATAAACAAAAATGAATGGGGAGGGAAAAAAAGGGGGGAAAATGTAGCAGATAGGTCCAAAGGATGGACTCTAACAATTAATTAAAAAAAAAAGAACAGAAAAGAAAAACAAAACCCCAAAAGAACAACAGAAAGAAACCAGACTGATTTGGCAAGCAGATGTTAGAAGGAAGATTTATTTCACACACCAGAGAGTCTTCTGCATCTCTGTGGGATGGCTTTGCAAGTAGACCAGCTGCCCTAGAGTCAGCCATTTTAAAGTCGGTCTTCCAGCCTCCCTGAACATCTTCATTAGACAAATTATCTGTTCTATTACATTTCTGAGTCTCATACTTTTTCTCGTAACTGGGCTTGACCTGTTCACTCCTGGGCTCTACAAAGGAAGGACCCAGGTCACCAAAATCTTCTTCGATGCTGGTTTGTCTGGTTAAAGTTTTCCTGCGAGCAAGCAATGGCCTCATGCTTTTCCTGCAGGAACAGTTAGCGGTCTCTGCGCAACAGCTAGATGCAACGTTGGCAGAAACTGAATCATAAGTATATCTGAAATTAAAACGAGATTCTTCTTCTTCACTTCCACAGTCTAGTCCACTGTCTGGGCTTCTCGATAAGGACCGGCTATATTTACATCCTTTGTCGTCTGCAGCATAATCCTCCATGCCTGAAATTCTGTGCTTGGCTGGGTACCAGAAGTTGTGCTGCTGGTCTTGATTGTAGGGCCTAGGTGGTCTAGAGTCTCTAGCTATTGTGGGATGCTTTTTATAGGGCATACCTAAACCCTGCTTGTACAGCAGTTCAGAGTATTCACCATCCTCTTCAGCTACTTCTGGAATACTGAAAAGCTTTTTACTGTGATGTATCTGCTGTGAAAAGTCAGGATGTTCCAAAAAAGTGGCTTCAGTGGTCTTATTCTTATCGCACTCCTTAAGATTATGTAATGTTAAAAACCAGACAGGGAACAAATAGTGTGTGACAAAAATAAAATGGGAGGGAAAAGGGAGAAGAAAAGAAAAATAAAGACAGAATTAGTTTTAGAGCAATGGTAAACATAAGACATGCAGCTTATTTAGTGAAAAGGACGTCATGCTTTGAATGAGAATCTGTGAAAAATAAAGACATGATTAAGAAGTTGCTGGGTGTCAGATACAACATGAGAGGTCAGTACAAACAACTGAGTGATGCTCTTAACAAGAATAAATCCATGCATTTAAAACAAAGCAATAAAAGCTGCATACATGTTCCAGCATGGTGAATGAGAATGACATTAAAACACAGCACTAATGCTTAGTATGTTCGTTACCCCATGCCAATTTGCTATTTAATTTTTCTTTGTAACCAGAACCCATATTTGAGAATGAAAATTCTGTTCTAGTGAGCTTTCTTGCTTTGCCTCTGTTAAAGCATCCTATATGAGTAACAAATACTCCCAAATCTCCTCCCAGAGGAGACCTATTTTGCAAACATCATTAAAGAGTTTGTTTTCTTTGTAAAATTGTAAAAAAACTTGCACCATTTTAAAGCTTGGCTTCCATAGAAAGAACCCTGAGAGGCAGGCTGCTCTCTGATGTCACTTTGTCTGCACTGTCATCAAATCTCTCATCATAATCTTGTACCTGCTTGATTTGAAAAATCAGCCTATTAGCAGAAGTAAGTAAAAATCTCTGTTTATACCAGAAGTAGGTAAAAACCATTCCAGCCTGGATAAAATAGGCATTCTGAACATGACAGATACATTTTGTAATTTTCCTATTACATTTACAAAAAACACAGGTTGGTGTGACAGGAGAATCCTATGCAGTATCTTTCCTGGACTCTGAGAAGACACAAGAGAATAATGATGCAGGAGGTACTGGTTTTGATTGACATGGTTTACAGACTCTACATCATGGAGATGGCCTCTCCTTGTTCTTTACTCAATGCCCAGACCAGGTAGGACTCTGGACACAACAGCACCCATAAATAATGGCAGGATCATCTCGGAGACTTCAGCATGTCACACTTAATTGGGTTTTGGATGTCCTTCCCTTTCAGGCATTAGGAACTTTCTAAGTTACTTTATGACTGCATTTGTTTCATCTATTTTCATTCATTTTTAAAATGTGTATCACACTTGTGAAACTTTTGAGACAAACTGTCATAAAAGTGGAAAAAAAGTCAGTTAGTATGAACAAAGATAGTTTTGATTGGAGCCCAAATATCCCACATTCTAGAATGCTCAGATCAGGTAAGTCGAATCTTTCCTTCACCTGTGTCGGGCTTTGTTTTAGGGAACCATTGGAGGAAATAATAATCTCCCCATAAAGCAAACTTAGATCTGTGTGCAGAATGTGTTCTTGTTACTTGAAGGCATCTATTAACTTGGGAGAGAATACTCAGTTACAGCTGCAGGGGCATGGCTGGCATACCTTCAGATGCAAGAAGAACAGGAACCTGATTGCATCATGGAAAATTCAGTAAACATTTTTCTTTTTTTTTTGTTAACTACTGATGTGGCAAAGTGAAATTGGATCTAGTGAAAGAGGGTGTAGTTATCGAGCACTTTGGGATCAGAATCTGACCTGCATTTTATATCAGAAAACTTATCAGCACGGTGGGCCGTATTCTCCAAATGAGACTCAGACATCCGTGGTTCTCCCCCAGGAAGTGCTCATACACTGAATTCCCCTTCTGCAGAACAGGTCAAGCAACTGTACCCTGCACGTACACTACTACATCAAGAGACCTATGCCTGCAGAATTTAATGGGTCTACAATGATTTACTATACCAATTAAGGGTCTGGACTTTTCTATTTAAATAACAACATTGGCAATACTAATTTAAAACCAAGAAGTAAATATACCTTCTGATGCATAAGGAACAAGAACAGCCTAGGGATAATTCACTTTTTCTCAGAGGAAAGGGACAGAAGCAGCATGCAGAAGGATTTAAGTTTCAACCTTTATGTTAGCAGATTAATAGAAACACTGATTATTTTTTCTTTTGAAAAAGTACCTGTCTCATTCCAGATAGTATCAGAATAAAAGAACTGAATTTGTAGTACGTGAAAGCAGTTACAAGAATGGTCAAAATTCTTGTACACACGAGAAAACAGTATGTTTTTTAATAGCATATTGGAAGAAAAATCAACCTGTGGTTTTCCTTATTGTTAAAGTTATCCAGCTTTCTAAGAAAACACAATTTAGTATAATTGCTAGACACTAAAAAGCAAATACAATTTACATGTACAAATATACTACAGGAAATATGTATTCTGTACTTGGTTGGTTCAATATTCTATGTATACTTTTTTACACTGAAGTTGTCCTTCATGATGAATATTCCTGTGTAGTGTTAAAGAAATATTTCTGATGGGTATATCTTACTGTCTCTGGTGATTCCTTAGTAATCAGAGCATGAGGATTTCTGATAATGCATTTATCCCACAGAGCTAACCCAACTTCCTTTCTTACAAGCATGCTTTAAAGCCTGTGGAAGAGACGGGACTAGCACTGGAAACATGGGAAAATTACTCAGACATGAAAGAAACAAGTTGTTGTATGTACGTTTATATAAATCTCCTTGAACATGTAGTATATTGTTCTATAGACACGGCAAAGATCCCTAGATATAGAACAGAAACGGAAACATCAACACTAACATATAGGAAATAGGCAATTAGTTAAAAGATCAGCTTTCAGATAATGTAAAAAACCCCCACTAATAAATGTATTAAAGTGGCCTTGACATCATAAACAATGTTCACCCCAGTCCTAGGTCTATATGACAGTGTGAGTTTTAATGGTCTGCAAAATCCATAATTGACTAAAAGAAATGCTTTGAAGGAAGAATCAAAATATGGAGGTAACTCCTATGGTTTCTCTGCAGTCACACTTACCTTAAGTGCATTGTGTGAAGACACACTGACTCGTCGCCTTCCTCCATCCTCCAGCTGCATTTCAGAGTACAGCTCTTCCTCATCTTCTTCCATAATATCAGACAAGTCAGAACCTCTGCTGCTCTCTGTATGGTACTCTTCACCATGGCAATAGTGCGGCTAATTGACAGGGCGAGAGAGAAAAATCTTGACTGACTGTAAAGCTGAAAATCCTTCTCTAACACCAATGAGGAATAGAGCATTTCCTATATTTGAATCTCACACTAATAACCACATATAAATTACATCACGTGGCTTGCTGCTCTCGTCTAGTGGAGAGATCATGTATAATTTTTTCTTGCCCATTTATGCTTCCAATTCAAGAAATCCAACCTTAATCCCATAGGTGATACAAAAAAGAATGTCTGCCTTCACAGCACCAAATCTAGTTCTAGTCTTGATTAAATTCCCTTGATTTAAAGAGGTCCTTCATGCATCAGTGGACTTGCTGACCAAATTATAAAAGCCCTAGGATAATTCACATATCATCTGTTCTTCACAGCTGTTTGTTACATCACATCGTAACTTAAAAGTGATCAGCATTTAATTTCTGCAGGATGTTGCCATCATTGTATGATATAGCTAGCTGATGGAATTTGAAGCTTTCATTCTCTTAAACATTGTAAAAATAGACTAGCCAAAACTTTAATTGCCTTTTAAAATTAGTCCAAATATTTCAAGTTCCTATAAGTTTTCCAATTACCCTGCAACAGGGTAGATTTAGACTGGACATTAGGAAAAAATTCTTCACAGAAAGAGTGGTCAGACACTGAAATAGGCTGCCCAGGGAGGTGGTTGAGTCACCCTCCCTGAACGTGTTTAAGAGTCGTTTAGATGTGGTGTTGGGGGATATGGTGTAGGGGAGAACTTTGTAGAGTGGGGTTGATGGTTGGACTTGATCCCAAGGGTCTTTTCCAACCTGAATGATTCTATGATTCGTTGGAAGATACGGACAGAAAAGCATGTCCTACTGACTTGTTAAATAGAAGTGGCCTCTGTCAAACATCACATCTAACAAATCTGATCCCAAACAAAACTCATTGTATTTCCAAGGACAAATTTTCAAATGGAGCCATCTGACCGTCTGATTGCAGTACAGTATTTGGAGAATCAAATATTCTAGAAGTACAGAATGCTAAAAATTACTGCATTCCTTCTCCCAGCAATACTAATTAGGAAATAATTTCTGTGGTACCACATCAATTCCCATGGCTATGTAACACGCTGATATCAGTCAATCCCAGCAATGAGAAGAAAATGTCTACAATAAGCAATTTCTCCAAAGTGAAGATGGATTTGCCCTCCAAATACAAGATACGATCTCTCCTCTTTTAATTCTTCATTCTGGAGCTAAAAAGATTGTAGGGTGAAGCCTTTCCTAGTAATTCTTGGTGCCAAGCCCATAAATTATTTCAGATCCTTCAGATGTATTATATTAGGATAATCTTATTAAAAAAGCCACTGCAGTTTCAAAGTGGTTTTGTCTTCTTTTTGAAGTTAGAAGATCAGACTATATTCTAATGCTTTATTTTTCACATCTAAACTTTGTGGCTCTTATACTAAATTACATTATTTAATCAGTTCCATTCCAGTAGAATCTTGGTCCTGTTTATCATAGAAAATCACTCCTGTTCTCAGCTGTTTTCAAGTCGACTTGGGGGTCGCACTGGCCCAGTACTACGAAACGTGCCCAATGCCTTGTAGATGACCAAAGGCCAACACTGCTGGACTAAAGCCCTGGTCGCTTGGGCAATCAGCCTGCAGAGACCTAGCAAACTGCCTCCAAGGGTTCTCCATTGTGGTTCTAATAACAGGAGTGCCTTCCTAAACGGCCACTCAATTATTTAAATAAATCTTCTCATTTAAGCACTGTATTAATTAAGGTATAAAACATAACTAGGAGATATTATATAAGCAATAATTATGCAATTCTGCTTGCAATCAATTAACTCTGTGTGGCATAGGCCATGCACACACTATGTTCAATAACTGGGTGCATGTACACATGTACATTTCCAGTAAAAGCTCTGTGGCCATACAGTCCGTGCACCTGCATTATTTCACTTGTTTTCTAGCACTGCTTATCCTGGAAATATCCCAAGCTCTCTCTGAATTTCAGGTCTATCTCTGATACTTATTTCACGTGTCCTTATTATACACTGTTGGATTTCTGCTAATTAGGATTACAGGTTATGGCTTTTATGGACGACAAAAATCCTTCCCTTTTTCCCCTTTTTTCACAGCATGTTTTCATATACAGTAGTAACACATCATACAGAGAAAGCACAGAGCGCAAATGTGATGTTCCAGTCACATTTCTATTTCATTTTTTTTCAGCTCCAGTTTTTTTCAGTTTCCAGTGCACAAGACTTCTGCCTGGGATAACAATCTATAGGTGTGTGGTGCCAGGCATCCAGTCCCCATTAGACAGCGTTATGCTCCACTTAAAGGACATTCACCTGCCTCCCCACAATCTACCTGCTTGTCAATACAGTTTACCAATATGGCTAGAATAATCAGATGGTGACCTGGAGAGCCTGCTGAGCTTCATAAAATACTTGTTTCATGTTGCACACCTGACACAACAACAAGACCACGCTACTTACTTGCTTTCCAAGTTCTGACCCTTTCAGGAAGTCATCAACTGAAGCCCCCCTTCTTTTGACATTAGGAGAATCATAGCCATCTTCCTCATCATCTGAGTTAGCGTACTGGGCTGCATTACTCCTTTCGCTAAAAACACTCCTCCTCTCCATCTAGCAAAGCAACAAAAAATGGAAAATTGTGAAGCAGATTTGTTCCTGCAACCAATGGAAGAAATGGCAAATATAAGACATAAGGACTCAAGAACACAACATTTAAATATACTCATGCTTTAAAGCAACCTTAGTTTCCCCTGACTGTAACCTTTTAGGAGTTTTTAAGAATTTTTTGCTTGTCATATTGCTGTCACTCACAAACAACTATATGCTTTTATATGACCATCAACTTGGCTGCTAGCTCTCTTCCCTGTACCACTTATTTAAAAATTCTTAGTATTCTACAGTCAGAGGATGCTAATGAAGACACTAATTTCCCCTTGGCAGAGGGTTAGAAGACAACCCAGCCACTACAGCATTTTTTACCTCAGTACAAAAAATGCTACAGAATGAGGCTTTGTGCTCTTTCTCTGCTCTGAGGTGACTCTCACCCTCAGCTACTGAATCCTCCTGCCTACCCTCATGACAACAGCCATCAGCCATCTCACAGGCCCTCTGCTCTGAGGTGACTCTCAGCTACTGAATCCTCCTGCCTACCCTCATGACAACAGCCATCAGCCATCTCACAGGCTGACGAAGGGCAGGGAGAAAACATATAGCTTCTTCTGCAGCAGCCTACCACAAGGGAAGAATTTATACTACTGGGGACTAAATATGCCAAATATCATTGGCAGAATTAGATTTAATTTAGAATGAATCCATCTGTAAACTTCTGTCCAGACCCTGAATTAAACATTTCAAGCATCACTAAAATTAATGTAATTAAACATGGTTCAGAGCATACATTATGTCAGCAATTTTCAAAACCAGAAAACATATTTCAGTTCTCTTTCCCTATATGTTTGTTAAATCAACTTTCACTTCAGAGTGCCAAATAAACTAACTGCCTTTTCTCCCTCTACTACATTTATTCCACTTTATTTATAAAGAAGAGGAAGAAATACACATGTGCATATATATGCATTTAAGCAGACCTCATTGATCCAGAATTATTCAGCTTCCCAAAAGCTGTATCATCACTCACTGGCTCAACTGTGTCCCCAGACAGGGACAGTCAATACGTTGGGGCTGTTAAAACATGTGTGAACCATCAAAATTAATGGAGTTATTTCGGAGATACAATGGAAGATGAAAGACTGGACATAACTGATGACTGCCAGATGAAGGATCAAGAGAACGTATTTAAAAAATTATACCAGAATTTGAAACAAGTGAAGGGCAGTTGTGAGCAGCTTGTGATGAGAAAGTCACTGCCCACAGCACTGGGCGTATTTAAAATTTCTGTGCTTGGGTAAGAAAACCAGAGCATGTTGTCAGGATGCATATGCATCAGTTCTGCTGACCCAAGAGCTTCAAATGTGGGATTTAAATTAATTACCAAACATCTGAATTACTACAGCAACCATGGGTCATAATAGTCTCAAACCCAGGGAGTTTCCTTTGGGCAGTGATGCTTCTAGCAGCTACAAAAGGAGCTGCAATGACAAGCCTTCAGATGGCCGCAATGCTGGAGCAGCTGGAAACATCTGTGAAGGTGCAGCACTGAGAAAATGGCACTCTTGAAGGGCAGGTGTGTAACGTTGCCTGTGGATCCATGACAGCACATAAACCAGTGCTTTACATGTATCTAAACTGCTATCTGCGATTTTAAACAAGTGGATGGTTTCAGAATACAAACATTTCTCTTATATGACTGGTGGTTATATTCCCTTATAGAAATGAGACTGTCCTCATTCTGCAAACCGACAAAAAGATTAGCTCTCACAGAAAGCCTGCTCAGGACTTTTGTCTAGCTACCTGTTCCCAGACCCATTTTTAAACTGCCCTTTATTGTTTTGGTTTCTTCCAAACTACTTCAGTACTTTGACTTTTCTCACTTAGGCAGAAGTCTGTCTTTTGACTCCTACAGGATCCAAGCACAACTGTTGATGATTACTACTTTTTGTTTTGTTTTCAGAAGTAAGGCTTTGCATTTTTGGAGACAACATTTCTAGTGATGTTATGCTGATCAAAGGCTGAAAATGCTCTTTATGGTTACAAGCATATTTGTGGAAGACGGCACAGAATTTTAACATATTGCTTTTTCTCAAACTATGGATCTTCAGGGTTTAGGAATGGTTAGCATATGATACAAAAAATTATTTGATGGAACTTGCCAAAAGGAATAAAGCCAGCTCGAAAAAGCCTTACAAAAAGTTTGCCTTTACCCTATTGCTCTCTGCAACTCGTTGTGCAGCTTCTCTTGCCATGGCTTTTGCAACAGTATTTGGGACTGGTGTGCCTTGGGGTTGAGGGAGTATTCGGTTAGGCGATGGAGACCTCCTCCCCTGAAGCGAGCTGTGAAAGTTGGGGGCAGGGGGCTCAAGTGTGTGTCCATGAACAGGGGATGCCGAACGAGTCTGCTCCCATGACTCATCCATTTTTAAATGTGGACCTAAATGTTCTTCTTTGGTTTCTGGGGCTCCGGCACTTGCTAATGGCTTAGATTTGGGAGCAGTTCTGGGGTGAGGGGTTGGAGGCACCAGTAGGTCAGATGGAATGGCAGCAACAGAAGAGTCCACTGATTCGCCTTGTGCAGACAGTGTACGAACTGTAACTTCCTTTGCTTCCAAACTCCTTAGTCTCATTAGCTCCACCAGTGTGTTCTCTGCTGTTGGAAAGATCACCTCCGCCACCTGAGTACACAAAGAAGCAACTTACTAGCATGAAGACATCTCTTTCCCTCCCCTCAACCCCACTAAAGTACAACCTTCAAAGTCTTAACATAGAGTGAATTACTGCCAACACAGGGTGGGCTGCAAGAGCCCACATTAGGGCTCCACACCAATTAGCACCAGTTGTCTTTAATTCTTTCAACCCATTTGTCCCAAAGCTTAAGTGCTTATAGAAAGGAAGCTGATGAGCAACTTAGGCACGGAACAAAAGAACAGGTTCTACTGAAAGCTGAGAAAACCCTGCACACATTCCAGTGCTGTCACATGTTTATTGTTGCCTTCACCTGTCAGCTGAAATTCACCTGATGTAGATGGTCACTGTAAGGCTGGAAGGAGAACTCACCCGTTGACCTTTCGCATAAACACCGTAGCCGGTGACATTGGCGCCATGGGAGGTCCCTGTTGCTGTCAGAGATGGTGGTTTCCAGGACACCTGTACAGTTGCTGGGGTGGACCCAGCCCGTACAGTAACATCTTGAGGTGGAGCTGGAGGACCTAAGAAAGACAAGACTGGTCACTGTTGAGCTTTAGATGAGAAATATGTACATCAACCGATATATCTGCAAGTTGGAAACTATAGATCTCAAAGCACTATTTTTTATTTTAAGAACAAAAAACATTCATATTGCAGTTATTATGTAAAACCAGAAGCACAGGCTCAGCAGGTCATGGAGCCAGAACTCAGGCTCTCAGCTTACAGCCATTAGCTAAGCTATATTTCTTTGCAAGATGGTCTCTACTTGTAACTTGCTCTGGACCTATTTTTATCCCTCCAGGCTGTAGAACCGCAGGCTGTAGAACTGCTACTTACTCTGAATTCAGAAGATGTTAACAGAAAAATACAGGGAGAAAAAGGCCCAGGTGTGGCACTGTTAGTGGAAAACTGCTGCAGATGACAGCCAGTGACTTTTTGGTATGTATCTCTGCACTGAATGCACACTATGTACTCAGAAATTACTTTACATTCTGTGTCTCTGGACCATCAGTGGCTCCAGGTCACGATTCATGGGCCAGAAGCAGGTTGACACTAAGGTGCAATGCAGACTGCAAGCTGAAACTTGTCACATTTTCAACCAGCAGCACCCTGGTTTAAAGGACAACTGGACTCAAAGTCTTTCCTCTGCCCTGAAGAAAAAAATACACTTACTAACCTTTTAAGGCATTTACAGTATGTTAGTGTAATAACATACCAAATATATCCTTAATTAAAAGACATTATTACTCCTCTATAAATAGCTCTACTTCGGACAGAAAGCCAAAGTAAAAATATCATAGAGATTATTAGTCCATGAATATCGCAGGCATCCTGTTGTGTTAGTTTAACAGTCAAACCCTGAGAAGTGTTTCATGCTAAAACATCTCAGAAGCAGGGTTCAGCTGTGGCCATCTCTGTAATAGCCGGGAGAACACAAACACAAACCTTGGTTGCTGTGAGTTTGCTTTTACCAGTGAACTAAGCACAAGCAATTTCTGCTCATCTACCAAAAAAAAGCTACAAATATTTTGACTGTGTGCATTAATTGCTAACAAACAGATCATGATACAAGTGTAAATATCATACAAGCTTCAGCCTCCAGATATGCTGGCAAACAGTCAGTGCATTTCAGTAGTTTGCTGTCACTAAATTTCATCCTCTAGTGGGCACGGAAATAAAATTACGGTCATGATTAGGACACTACAGGCACAACATGAAATTTTTGCCTATACTATCCCTTGCACCTGTAATATATTTTTAACTTGCAAAGCCAAGTAAGCAAAATGACTGAATTCTTGGACAAGACATAGATTTTGATTTAGGACTGAATTTCACCTTCCCTGACCATCCTATTTTATTGACAGCCAGCACTCCCAATCCAGCAAACCTCCTCAGTTTACGAGAAAGAATGCATCCCATCTAGTCTGGTATCTTGTCAATGACAATGATGTTAATCTGCTCCTGCAGGAGAAGTCACCTTCCTTCCATTCCCCCAAAGCAAACAATCCCCAGGGAGTCTAACGACCTTCACAGGCTGCAGCAGAGACAGGTTTAACAAACCACAATGCCCAAGGCTTAGTATGGTTTCTATTTTCCCCCATCATTAAATGGGAAATTACTCTTGATGACTTTTGATGGTCTTGGTCATCAAGATAAATGTTTGTTTCAGAATCCTGCTACAGTGTGGTCTTTGTGAATTTATTACCTAAATTAGTTCAAAACCCGTAAGAGTCCCATTGGTTCCAATCCTGTCAATACTTATGTCTATTATTAAATCCGAGCACCCAAAAGAGAACTACTTCTTTTTTAATTTCAGCAATTCTAATGCTTTGATGAATCAAGAAGAGGAGTTCAATTGCTCAGCAACTAAAGAGTTGTCACTCAGCTTTGGTCCGATAGGAAGCAGTGTGTTTTCAAGCATAAATCATGCAAAACAAGATATATCTATGCATAGAGAAAAATGAAAAGGTGACCTCTAATTGTCCTGTACTTTTCATGTTACTGCTCTCTTTCTCTTTGAAATGTGTGCAGTTGTCTCAAGTTCATTTTTGCTTAATATATTCCTAAAAAAACCCTGAGATTGATACAGTGGGAAAATTTTCAAATATTCATCAATCTCCACTCCCTTTTTGGTATAAGTGGCTGATGGTATCCTTTTCTCTAGGGTTATAACTAAACCCTCTAGCAAAGAGCAGAGCTTCTCAGCTTCAAATAAAGCAGGAACATGTATTCATTTGTCAACATTTCTGAAGCCCTTAGAAAAATGCCAGTACAAACGTTATCAGCTGCCTGTGGCAGCTGTGGCTGCAGTCCACGCTGCACTGTCTGCTAAGCCTGACATTCACAAGTAAAGGTTTATGTGCCACCAACTCATCCCATGCATCTTCTAGAGAAGCACAATGAAAGATTTCCTTCACATGGAAGAGCCGTTATCGCTCTCTCAGCATACTCTTAAAATAATTTCTTAAACATGACGCTACAATATAGATCAACTGACATTATTTAAAGTGGAAAAAAAATCCAGTGTGAGAGAAAAACCAGTATTAGTCACATTAAAGACACTTCATCGTTTCTCTTTCAACTTCTTCCTTTTAACTGCAGTTTGGATGAAGTGATATGTGATTACTTGAAGCCAGTAATATTTGCAAGACAAAAACATGACACACTAGGATTGTAACTCCTAGTGCTGACTGATTTCATGGGCATCCTTTTCCCTTTGTTTCAATGACTTTTGATATCCAAGCATCATCCTTTAATCACCTCAACAGTTGCTATTTTATTTTGCTACATAAAAGTAAAAAGTTTATGTGCTTTTGTAAAAACGCTCTCTGTGAAATGAAGTGTTGGGGAAGATTCTGGGATCTCTGGATCTAAAAGCAGAGACTTTGCTGCATTTTAGCTCTTCAACAGAGAAAGGCTCATTTATTGCTTTAGCATCCTTCAGCAACTAGAGGGAGATACAGCATTCTAAGTGTTTGGCCTGAAAAAACCTCACTCAGAAGTCAACAAGTCTACTAAGGTCAAGCCACCATCTAGGCAGCATCTCCCAACTCCCGCAGAACATATACAAAGTTTGGAACATCCCCTCTCCTAGCAGATCCTATAATAGCACTACCACTTATCTCACTGAAATGATTTAGGACAAAATCGTAAATGCCAAAAGCTGAGGACATTTTTATGGAAACTATAAATCAACAGCATCAAAAGCAGTAGAGGCAGAAGGTTAACTCCCCTCTGCTCGGCCTGCATGTCTCCTTACATGTAAGTCACGCAAGCCAAGGAAGTGACCAGAACTAATTCCTGTCCCTTTGCTAGAATCAAATCCCAGCAGGGAGTCAATTAAGCCATAGCCCACTACACACTATTGAAATTTCACTCGCCAGGAGTCACTTGTACTTGACTGTCCCTGCTTCAGAGGCATTCAGTGCCCTGACAGTCTGAGTGTACAGGGAGTCGTCTACTTGTCCTTGATTAGATGACTTCTGTTAGATGAATTGATAAGCAAAGATTTTTCAGGTATTGCCATACACTCCCAGAATTATGAGATTATTCTTTGAATGCACTACATTATTTCAGCTCTAGTTTTCAACATTACTTTGCTGTTCTTCAATACTGGGAAATAACTGGTAACACCTATCGAGATCCCTAATGTAAAAGCAAGGTGGGAGAAAACATCAGACTTTCCAAAAGAAGACCAATTTGTTATGTTTACAAATTCAAATTGTACAATGTGATTACCACTTCACAATCAAAATGCATTTACATCCCCTAAATGACTGTGGTCCTCTAAAATGTATGTGGGTTCTTCCACTACAGAAGAGGGCAGGATCATCCCTGTAAAAACTGCTTTAAGACATACAAATAACATACAAACAACATGTCAGAAGTAGTAACTGGGTTTTAACCAGTGTTGTTCACAGCAATGAAAATAAATTACTACCAGAAAGACTATAACTGGACAAATTAAGTATAAATGGAAATTAATCAGATAAAACTCTTAGTATGTGATCTGCGATGATGATAAGCATGGCTTTCCCTTGTTTATCTCCCAAAAATGCTTCACTGCTTACCCAAGAACAAAGAAGAGAACGCAGGACAGGAATTAATTTTATACACCATAAAGCAATCTAATAATCCCCAGTCTGCTCAAGAATGTGATGGAGATTACAGCACTGAACTACAAGTAAGATTAATTTATCTAGAATTTTGAGAGAAACTTAACTGGAGAGTTTTGGGGTAGGGAGAAAAATATCAAACCTGCTGGCAATGTAGAAAATTCCACAAAGGCTTCTTTTTTTTCTCGTTGTTCCAGGGGAAGCTGCCAGGGCATCTGATGGGGCTTTGCCATCACCTTCACTTTGTAGGCCATATTGGGCTTCAAATTAAAAAAATGGTACTTGTAGCTAGCAGCCTTGACAATGTCAAATTCTTCTTCATTGAGAAAGATCACGTGACTGTAATTACTATTTGTAGGGAGCCAAGACAGCTCAGCAGAAATCTGGGTTATGTTGTCCACTTTAAGATTAGAGGGGGCTACTATGACATCCTTCCCAACTAACAAAGTGCACTGCAGTTCATCTGAGTTACCCTTGTTTGTAATACTCTGAATTGATATTCGGTATGTACAAGTAGAAATATTAAGCTTTTCTATAAGAGCTTTCGTTCTGCTTCCCAAGGCTATGTTCATCCGTACTTCTTTGTCAACCAGAACGTTGTAGCTGCTAATGGTTCCCCATCCGGGTGGCACTACCGGTGGCTCCCAGCCCACAATGACACTTTTGGCTAGTTGTTTAATAAGGGTGATTTTTCTAGGATAAGGCACAATGTCTTCTCCAATTTCATCAATGTTCACATCCAGAGTCCCTGCGCCATTGCTGATTACACTAGAGTCTATGTGACTTGGTGGACTTATCTCCAGGAGATCTCCTTCCAAAGTAGGACCCGAATGGTTGATAAAATTCTGATCTTGTTCACTGCTTAATGTGCTTGATAACCGGGTCTCATTGTCTTGAACAAAATCCACAAAATTTGAAGGGACTAGTCCTCTTTGTCCATCTAGGAGTTCCCCTGGTGAGAAAGAATAATGCCATTAAAATCCTTGAAGGAGCACACTTCTTGCATGTCAATGCCTTGCAAGTGAGATAAGGAAGAAGATGTAAGTGAAAACTGTACACGAACAACATTCACAGTTTGAGAACGTAAAGGCTCAGTGAGGCAAAAACCAGAACTGTCAGTAAGCTTTCTTGTCAACTTAAATCTTGCCAGTAGGAAAAGCTGAAAAAATAAAATATCTTATAATTAGCTATGCCTGCAAGGAGTGGCTTTGCTGGTGCAGAAACTCTGTTAATTAACACAATGATGATAGGGGTAATTTTAGCAACTGATTTGGTAGTAGATGAAGAAAGAACTGGCAGTGTGTCTGAGAGACGAACTGATTTGAATCTGCATGAATTAGCATGAATTCAGAAATAAAAAAAAAATACCTTCATAAAAGCCATCTTCATCCATATCTCCATACACATAAAGGTACTTTCCTGCCGTAAGGGGGAGCTCTGCTTCTGGATTTTCATTTGGTCCATCAAAAGGGTTGTAACTGCAATGGAGGGCAGATGGAAAACATGTGTTCACTTACAACCCCCACACAACTGAACACTAATCAGAAAAAGGTGTACAGTTCTAAGGCTGCACAGGAAGGTAATTCCTCAGTACACTCTTTTTGCTCTCCTTCTGAATCATATATTCTGAGTGGAGTCTACATCAGTTTGTTGTTGTGAACTGTAACTGCATCACCAACAGGCTGCCATGAAACACAACCTATTCATTTAAGTGCTATACACTTAAAACCCCACCCTTTTCTGTAGAATTTACCAATACATTTCTCCCCTAAGTCTCTTTGAATACAATGGCCAAAATTCTTTATTATTTAAACTGAATTAAAATTAAACTGTTGTGGGGTTCTTTTCCAGTCCTCATATTCCATTTAATTTAAATGACAGTCCTTTATACAAGTTTATTACCTTCAGCATAGACAAGTTAAATAAAGAAAAAACAGTGAGTTACAGCTGAAACAAGCTACTCATAGACAAAAACTTTTTATAAAGTATTTAAATCCATATCCATCCTGAAAGAAATGATTAGGCACATACATTTTTATCATGACAGTAATTTATAACTGAAATTTTAATATGCAAAGTAAAGGTGTGAGGAACTTTTAAATCTTCCTTGCATTGATGAAAATGCAATTTATAAGAAGAGATTGAGACATCCTTTATAAAGTAGGAGGTACACATTCTGGTCTCATTTATACAAATACAGCAGTGGGTAGAAGACATGTGCCATGATAAACTTTCTCTGACAAAAAGTGCAGACAGGAAAGGAGTCTGCTATTCATAACATTGGTTCCTGGTAATAATTAAATGCATGAATAAACGTGAAATAAGACCAAATGCTGAATATAACAAATCTGTGTTATACATGTAATGAGCTGGATTTTTTACCTATAACGGGCAATGCAAAGATGGACTTTCCCAGAATATCTCTGCTTTGAGGTATTGGAATTCTGATCATTATCCATCTGTAGAGAAAAAAAAAAAAAAAGAAAGTGCGATTTCAAAAAAATGCATGCACTGTTTTCCTGACAGGCAATATAAATCAGAAGGTGAACACGCAACATTAAAAAAATGCTAACAGGTATTCTCCCCTGTGTAGCATCTGGGGATGCAGGCAATTTTTCAAGGGTTATCATCCTGGTACCTTCTTATGGGCATGTCATGAAGCTCATAACTTACCCAGTAGTGCTTATTCTAGAAGGCCTTGTTACTAGTAACAATCAGGGAAGTTGCAGATATATTTTTGCAGAGTATCATTATTTTTTTTTAATTTCAGCCTTCACAGCATTATGCTCCATTTTTAGATTTTTTTCATACACTCTCCCCCAGGATCTGGATACCTCCAAAAAAGGATGGAGCTTAATTTCTGTGAGCTTGCATAATGTAAGTACGTATCACATAATTACATTCTAGAAGGCACACAACGAACAGTTCTGCAAAAGAGGGCTTGACATTCTCAGTGAGAGATAACTCAAAAATAATAGAAAAGGGGAATTAAATTTGACGTGCACTTCTTCTGTTCCTTGCTGTTAGTTCTGCTTCCCTAAGTCTCGTTGCTAAGCTGCTGCTTCTGGTTTGACTACTTCGGGCTGCTTTTTCTGTGGCCTCTTCAAAAAGCAGTGAATGTTCCCTCTTTTCAGTAATGCTGCTATGTATGTATATATACGGATGTATACATATATTTATTTGTGGATAATCCTTAGATACACCCATGGGATTCCTACTGTACAAGAATATTTTTTTTAATATCCGACACCATACTCAGGCTTTTAATCCATTTAAAAATATTTTTTTTAATATCCAACACCATACTCAGGCTTTTAATCCATTTAAAAACATTTTGATTCTATCAACTTTCACAGGTTCAGTAGCAATGAATATAAAATACATAGAAAATATGCACACAGTTTCAATTTATTTACTTCTGTAAAGGTTAAGAATGGGATTCAGGACTGTAAGGCAGAGCAATGAATATAGAATACATAGAAAATATGCACAGTTTCAATTTATTTACTTCTGTAACGGTTAAGAATGGGATTCAGGACTGTAAGGCGAGGGGTAAAATCTGAAGATCATTTCTTCATGGCTATAAACCAGGCTTACAGTATTTAATAGAAAATAATACCCTTCTATGAAGTTTCCAAAATGTGTCATATAGCTCCTTATGTTTAACATTCATCCTTAATATCAACAACCACCTTGCTATGGCCGAGGGGTAAAATCTGAAGATCATTTCTTCATGGCTATAAACCAGGCTTACAGTATTTAATAGAAAATAAAACCCTTCTATGAAGTTTTCAAAATGTGTCATATAGCTCCTTAAGTTTAACATTCGTCCTTAATATCAACAACCACCTTGCTATGGCACCTTTGCAAAGCTCTTCTGAGCTTCCCATTGACTTTCTATTTGAATGCTACTGAAAACCAGAACACCTTTCTAAGAAAGGACAAACAGACCCTTTCAAAAGGATAATTAAATACAAGCTGCAAAGTTAAACGGTGGAAGAGTTTAGTGACAACATCCTGCAACATTCACTTCCAGGTTACAAGCTCAAGATCAGTTTTGGAGTGTGCTGGAAACTCCTGTTAGCGAGTGGTACTAGTCTGGCTGTAGTGAGAAGATTCATGCGTCATGAAAACCAGGCAAAGAATAAGTCCTTAAGAATGAACAGGACTGCATCTGGCAGAGCATACCTGCCTGCACCTTTGCAAAGCTCTTCTGAGCTTCCCATTGACTTTCTATTTGAATGCTACTGAAAACCAGAACACCTTTCTAAGAAAGGACAAACAGACCCTTTCAAAAGCATAATTAAATACAAGCTGCAAAGTTAAACGGTGGAAGAGTTTAGTGACAACATCCTGCAACATTCACTTCCAGGTTACAAGCTCAAGATCAGTTTTGGAGTGTGCTGGAAACTCCTGTTAGCGAGTGGTACTAGTCTGGCTGTAGTGAGAAGATACATGTGTCATGAAAACCAGGCAAAGAATAAGTCCTGCAGAACAAGCAGGACTGCATCTGGCAGAGCATACCTGCCTGGACAGGGCACTGCATGGAATTCCCCTTCCGTTTGCCCAGGCTGTATCAAAGTCACACCTTTTGGTAGATAAAATAATAATAAACCCGCATAACATAGACATCTGCCAAAACAGCCCCAGACAGAAATGCTGACATACACTTATGCACAGAAATAGCACAACACTTGAGGCTGTGAAAGCTGAGGTTTTCATAGAAGCTTGAGGTCCTCACACACCCATTTTTTATGCTGTGTGACTAGGATATCAGCTGAGACTTCTTTGAAAATATCAGTTAAATTCCTCCTGGTCATGTTCCCAAGTTACGTCAGAAAACAAAAACATTCAGATCTTGACTTTTTAAAAGCAGGTGTATCAACCTGCATCAGTCCCCTGAAGAAGAGAGATCCTGGCCCCATACATTTTCAGTAACAAATTTTTAAAAAACTCACGTCTGAATCAAATCTGCATCTTGGGGTACCAGATCTTGACTTGGACAGGAAGGTGGGTTTGACAGATAATTGTTCTGGTTTGTCTCCAGATATTTGAAGGGGTCGTATAAACTCTGAAATCACACAACGACTTCCAGAAGGACTTTCATGACCTGGCAGTGAACAAAACGCATAAGAGAATAAGTAATTGTTCTCAAGCAGAAACTCTGCCAACTAATAAGCAGCAGTGAGTTGTTTTTTCCCTCCTGTTAGAAATCATTCTAGAAAAAGACTAAGGTAGACTGCAGAGCTTAACAGTAGCTAAGCCTACTAGTTCCCAGCCTTTTGATAAATTACAACAACATGTAACAGTACATAATGGAGAAATTGAAGGTATTTTAATTCAAAAAAATCAAAGTTAAAAGTTTACCCTAATGAAAAAAAAAGTACACCTTTGTTCTGAGCATCTTGATACCTTTAAAGAAGCTATCTGACATGCTGTTTAACATGCCCAGCACTTAAAAGCTGCTTGAGAAAAAAGATAACTTCATCAAGGTTGCAAGAGAGACTATTAAAGTGTAATATAAAATACTTCTACATTTTTACCCCTTGGGTATAGTCCCCAAACCACATGAAAACAAGCAGGAAACTGTAAACTGAACCTAATTATACTTGCAGCATCAGCAGAAGTTAAAGCACATAGTCTACGGCATTGCTGACACAATCAGATATCCAGAGTGCCTTCTCCTTTTTCTCTCATTAACAAAATGAGCCTATGCTCTAATTTTTCAGACCCTGGATATGTGTAGGTTCAGCATTTCCTCTCCAGTTCTGCCAAAAGTCTGGACAGCAGTGCTTTGCCATTGGATTGCTAGCTTCCCAGACACACGTCACCAGGAATTACCAGTGGAACCTCTTTATTCATATAGCAGAGGAGAATAAGCTCCAAAACAGATCATCAGAGGGTTTTTCTGGTGTGCTCCTTAGTCCAATATGATTAATTTTCTCTGCATCGCTGTAATTTACAGCAGGACAGCTTAAGCACATTGACAGCAGGGAAATACACAAGTCATCATAGAAAAGATTAATTACACCACCAGCCTGCTTACAGAAATCCCCAGGCTGGAAAAGGGCACATTTTTTATTCTTGGAACCTTTCTCACATATATAACAGAAAAGTCATCCCTGTTCAGAAACCTTTAGCCAATTTAGCTCCTTCTGTTTGCTGTTAATATGCCTGCCATATCAGCCTGTCAGCGCCAAGCCTATAAATAATCGGTCCAAATGTGATTATTCATTCAAAGGAAACTGCTGTTTGGTCTCATACCTCCCGGATTTTTCAGGCTCTGTTATTAAATTAGTTGCACCACATACAAAATGTGGAGAAAGATTCTTAGACTATATAGCCCTTGCTTTGTATACATATAGGATGATAACCAGGATAGGAACACACATTATCAAGAACTCCAGGAACACCAAGACACTGAAGATATTCAGATGCCTAATTTTTTCCACTTGTAAAAATATAGCCCTTGCTTTGTACACATATAGGATGATAACCAGGATAGAACACACATTATCAAGAAACTCCAGGAATATCAAGACACTGGAAGACATTCAGATGCCTAATTTTTTCCACTTGTAAAATAGGGTACATAAAATTTACCTTGGATCTTTAATACATAGGAGAGGAAACTGCGTGGTAACAGTAACTACATCGTGTAACTGAACATATCTATGGCTCCAGATGCTGCTAATAACTACATACAGCTTACTCAGATACCTCACTTCCCCTCAGAATAAGTCGATACCTATACCCATCAATGTATGTGGAAATACAGTTTCTGCCCCAAATCTAGCTCTGAAAATGGAGCTGTCTTCCTAGCTGGACTTGTTGCTGCCTTCAGTGCCCTCTGTTTCTCTAGTCACTTGGATACTTTTGCAACGTACCATCTCCCTGCTCAGGAAAATCTGCACTGGGTGCCATCAACCCCTGTCTCCTTATGAAAAAGTGGGTGAAATAACAGAAGCTGATCCTCTAAGGCTCTTTCCCTGCTGTGGGACTGCTTTTATCTGGGACCACAATGTGATCTATTTCTTAAAGCAGCTTAAAAATTGCTGCATTTTCAAGGTATTCTAATATCTGTAATAAATTGGAAAGAAGAGATTTTGGGGTGAGCTGTATCATACAATTTTAGCAGTTAGTTCCTGTATATTCTGTACAGGAGACTGTTTTAAAGGTCATGAGATGCTTAAATAATGTATGTAAATTCATGCTGATTCTATGTATGTAGAGACACAGTTGGATTAAACAAAAACCAAAACACAAGCATCATCAAGCAATGTCGTTGCAAAAAGCAAAACTGAGATTCCCTGTGCATGAAGCACATTCCTCCTGAAACCTCCTGAATCTCTGTAATCTCCTGATCATTTCTATAGAGATGTCTGCTTTTGCGGATTGTCAATAGATGAGTACAGTCAAAAATGGCTGCATTTAAAAACTGGCCTCACTTCACCTCTAAAAGAAGAAACAATTTCAAACTAGGTTCTCCTGTTCATCCAAGGCAATTTCACTATGTCCCTGGGCTTGAACAACAGAATGTAGAGGATTCAGACCTACAAAGACGGTTTTAAAACTTGTTAACTCACTGGATACTGAGAAAAGAAAAAAATCATTCACCTTTCATATTTTCACTCTGGAAAAAATCAAGAGTTAAAAAAGAAAAATACAAGAGGTCAGTTCATAAGAACACACAGCGGCTTCTAGAAATGTCTTTTTTTTTTTCTCTGAATACTAGAGAAGAACCTCATAAAGCCACAGATATTTTATTTGTAAAGTCTCGTAAAATAAATCCATATATGCTCAAAATGGCCATTATTTTCCCATGACCTGCAAATATCTGTTAAGGAAGTCTGAAGGACACCCTTTCGAGGAAAGAGGCAAGGAAGAGCACCAGACTTAATTTAAGTGTCTCACAGAATTAAAGCTGGCCATACTTGTAGTACAATTACACTCTCCTTTTTATTTATTGGAACTGCTGATTCATTATGGACTACCTAAATTATCTAGAAAGGCCACTTAAATCAGCCTTTTATCTGATGAATAATAAATCTTAAGGTTTCTATATCTGATTGTGGCATTATTATATGTTTAGAGTGAAGTTTTTACGTTCTAATCTATCCTGGCTAGGTTTATTTCATTTCCTGATACATTCAAACACCACCAATTAAGGCAAAGCAGCTGGTCATAAACTGATCTCATTTCCGTCATTTGCTTTGCTTTGAAAGCTGTCCCTGTGTTCCCTCTTGTGTTCTTTCTTCCTCACACATAATAAAAATAATTACACTTCTGGTTTGAAGAACTTGCTGTAGCATTTCCATCATTATTGTGAAATGGTTGATTTCAGTAATTAGAAATCCTGCCCACTTGCTCAAACATTACTTTGTTGTTATCTGTGCGTTCATACTGAGAATGAATATTGTCCAAGGATTTCTGATGTTTATACACTGGTGCTACAGGCTCTGAATTCTAAGTCAAATAAAAATCAATAGATAATGAGAAAAGGTTTACAGAGCAAGGCCTTTAAATGACTTCAATACAGACCTTGCTGTTGTTTTCTGTGTTTCTAGCCAAGGATTTCTTGGAAGATTTCTGTTTGTTATGTTTTGAAGGTTTTTTAAAAAAGCTGTTGCTATTAGTATTTCAAGAATAAATATAAGTTAATTTGTAGAGTTTGACTGAGGACCTCAAGAAGTTTCACTGATTTTTATTTGAGGATTGAGGCCCATTTAGATCAATTCCAGAGATACAGACTGGACCTTCACTGGCTGCCTAAAGGACAATTCAATACCTAATTACCTTTCCTATAAAATGAATTGTTGCTTTGAAAATCCTGTCCTTCGAGACCTGAGGAGGTAATCCTGTTGATATTAAGGAAATTTTTACTAAATTCTTATAGCTATCAGGTCATGCCTTCTGAATTCTCCATTTAGTGCACTTTAATATCCACTTAGGTAAGACTTGCAGCTGCAGAAAAGCTTATAAACTAATATGCACCACAGTGGGTAAGACTGCAAACAACTCAATTTTTTGTGTTCGAAATCCCAAGGCATACAAAGCACAAAGTTACTGAAGTGAAATGAAAGAAGGATGTCACCTTGGTTCCTTTTGACTTGGTTTCACATTGAGTTTAGCACCCTTCACTGAAAATAACTGCTCATCTGTAATGATAGGGAAATGATTTGTGATTTCTAGGCCCTACGCCTCAGAATTTTTCTGGAAGCTTAGGAAGATGAAATAAAAAAAAAAAGCCCAGACTATTTTGTTTTTCCAGTTCCCCTTTCATACTTATAACTTTGGGGGACTTTGTAAGTAATGGAAATTACCTGACAAGTGCTCTTTTGTAGAAGAAGTGGTTCATGTTATTCTACTGAACTGGTGAGCACAATCCTCAGTCTTGATAACAACACAGTTGTAATACACAGCCTAACATGTGATTTACATGCAAGTTACTTTCAAGTGTCCTTAAGTAACCTCTGGCCTTAATCGTTGAAATTTTCTTATGAATAATGAATCATTACAACATTGTGTACTTAGGAGGAGCAGTTGCCTCTGGCAACAGGAGATGACCTGGCAGAAGTTCAATACAAATCTTGGAAAAAACCCTACTGTGTTGAAGATTCCTGGTGCTATAAGTGTAAGAACACCAATATAGATCTAATTTTTTTTTTTTTTTTACTTTACATTCTAAATATCTTTAAAAACCCACATCAACACTATTTTTGTCTGGACTTTTCTATTTCTGAAACACCTGGCAGTTACCTCTTTGAATACTATTTTAAATAGTTACAAATTTAAACACGCCTTTGCAGAGTTTGGTAAGCAACTGCAGGCATTATCCGAATTCAGTTCTGTTAAAATATATCCCATGAAACTCCTTTCCAACCAAAGTAACTTCATGACAGAATTTGAGTTTTTGTAGACAGTGTTTGCTTCCAGTGAAATTTTTCTTGATGTATTAAAGTTTTTATGGAGAAATGCGTATTTTCTGTTGAAAAAATGCCTCTAAACAAAAAAATTTCCATGTTTGCCAAAAAATTCCATTCAGTTTTCCCATTTTCTACCCAGCTCTATTTACAAGTTTCTTTTATGTAATGGCTAATGAAGTGTGGGGGGTCTCTATGCTTTCTTTCCCCATGAATTGCTACTTCAAAAAGACAGAAGACCAATTCCTGTCCCTGAAACAGTGAAGGTTTTACACCCATGCCTGTATACGAAGACCGTCTGCCTTCTTCCAAAAGAAGCAGATATGTAAGGAATACATGATTTTAACACTGAAAAGGTTTCTCAGCGCTACACCCAACAACAATTAGAGAAAATTCTGCCCACAGCAGTGCCCGAATAAAACCAGAACAACCTCAGTGAAGGCTCAAGAGATACTCAGAAATTTAAACAAATCACAAAACAGGAACAGGAGCGAATTCTATCCTCTATTTGTACAATCAAGCTCTATTTATGTCATTGAGTTGCATCTTAAAAACCTACAGGCAGAACAGATACCTACAAATAAAAAGCTGGTCCTTACCTTTGCCTATAGAAGTGGCTATTCCATTCATTAACTGGGATAGAGATTTACCGGGAGAACCAGGGAAATCTGAGGATGCCACTGAGTTACTGCTCAGGAGATCAATCTTCCCTGCTTGCTGTCGAAACTTCTCCAGTTCCCTGGACAAGAGGTTAAACTGTTCGCTCTGTGTCCGGCATTTCTCCTCTAGCTCTCGGACCTTGGCCTGCACAAGCAAGACACAACACAGACATCTAACTGAGATCAGGGCGACCTGTGACTGCGTCAGATTTTTCTACGTACCAGGAAGCCAGGATAGGCAAACAATTTGGGATAACCAGGCCCACAATCACACTTTTCTACCCCTCAGTTCCCTCCCACCCATATTTAGGACAAAACCTTCTAGTAGCCCTGTAATATTGAGGTAAGTACTCCTTTCATCCCCGATTTCCAAAGGGGAAATTCCTCATCATGTTTTTTGGCAGTGCTAAAAAAATCACTGCCAAGAACACCTGCAAACAGATTCTACAGCTTTGTGACTTCTATCTGAATGTCACTTCTGTGTGCTTTTCCAACTTTTTCTAAAACTCATGTATTTCTGAAGGTTTCCCATCCTCTGCTATTACGGTGAAGACTCCTCAAATGCTAGACCAGCATTTATGTATTAAAAAACAACAGGAACAAAAAAGCCACCACAGTGGTTCATGCAGAACGTGGGCCCAGCTACAGGCTGAACTCCCTCTCAAAAATAACGCTCCTCACTATAGATGCAAAGCACACAGAAGTAATCCAGACACCAGCCAAGAGGAGATTGTTTGTGAGCTTGTAAGAAGTACCAAAACGTCACTGTTGGAAAACATTTGTGTTTTAATCTTGAGGCATCAGCCTTTAACAAAACAGAACTTAAAAGATAAGCTTCTGTGCTGACTTGGGAAATTTACCTACATACAGTTTATGAATTCCTGATGTGAAAAAATAGATAAGGTGATGGAAAGATTCCCTGGCTAAAAGAATTAAACAAAGGGCATGCAAGCAGAAGTACCTCAACAGAGGCACTAACAGGCTCCTTATATGAGAAGCTGATGCATTAGATCCCAATCTGATGCTTTGTAACAAACAAACATCACTTTCCTTCATTAAAAACCCTTTTATAGTATATATCTAGTTAAACAACTGTACTAACAAAGAAAGTCTGGATATGTTAGATTCATTCAACTGTACTAGAGGTTTCTTTTTCTTGAAAGAGAAAATATTCTCAGTTCATGTAAGAAAAACTGCATATATTACATATCAAGAAAATGACATACATTACATACCATTTATGCAAAGATTTTAGCACAACCAAAGATAAACAAAACACTTACAGTACCCCAAAACCACAAAAATCCCGATTTCCTTCTATAGAAGGTATACTCTTTGTTCCTTTTTTTGGGAACAAATATACGTTTAAAGGTACAGTGAATTTTGAGGATGTAATTTCTTTGTATTCATAAAACACAAATTAATTTAGTTCTGCTAAAGAAGTCTCAGGGTATCTATCTGTTTGATTATGAAAACAAAACAGTAAGATACAGAGACACTGTAGGAGTTTTACACAAACATTATATACTCTGATTTTTGGGTTTTTGCCTTTCATCTTTTCACTGGGGTTTTGAGCAACCAAAATGTGAGCCTTTCCTACTTGTTACGTTGCTGCACGCATAAGGCATCTACATACAATTTTAGAAGAACATTAAACAAACAAAGTAGTAAAGTGGATTGGGTTTTTAGATCCCCTCTTTCCAATGGGAAGTTTAGAAATGAGCTATTCAACTCTCTAAGAATATATACTGACCTTTCCACATGCAGTTATGGAAAATCTAGCATAAAATAAAAAATAAAAACATCATCATCCAGAACCCAACAAAATTCTAAGGCTGCCTTAAAAAATATTTTTGGAAAAAATAGAAATTTAATGTATTATCCTTTTTTATTAATTTAAAACTTATTTTCACTTCAGTATATGCCTTTCTTAACTTTTGAGTATCTAGAATCTTCATTTTCGAGTTGTTCTTGCACAACAGCATGATGCCTGGAAGAAAAATGCCTTTACCACTATTTAAAAAAAAGACAAAGTTTTAAGTTAGAAGTGAGCACAAAACTGCTATTATACATGGACAAAATTGGCATAAAATCCACAATAGTACTAGCAGAAGGCATCCCCACACCCGTCTTTGTTTCTTGACTTCAGGCAGGTTCATTGTTAGCCAGCCAGACTCACCTCACTGTAGAAAATCTACATACCAATGTATGTCACTGCAGAGAGGCATGTGCTTACACTCAGAAGCACTCAATTTTTATTCTGTATCATGGTTCTGCCCGTACAGTCTATCCTATTAATGATGGCACAAAAGTGCCAAGTCTACCAGATCTCCCTAAAATCTGATCTGCATACAGCAATGCTTGTATGAAAATACATTCTCTCCTACAGACCATATTGAATGTATTTCACTTAGGACTTGCCAAGTTTCTCATACAATACATAGAGCTATTTCTAGGACTTAAATAGCTTCTTAGATTGAAAACAAAGTAGACTTCATCCATTACAAGACAGATACTGTTTGCACAAGACAGGTAAGATGATGAGCAACTTTCCCGGTGGACAGGCTTGAATTCAGACTTGTAATTAGCACACATATTCTGCTACGGACATACCACTTCATGGGTTAATTGTTTACATAGCAGCAATGCCTTTCAGGAGGTAGCTCGATAAATCAATCCCAGGTGAAAATACCACATAAAATTATCATTGTATTAACAAAGAACCAATCTGAATTCAGACAAAATCCACAGTCAGAAAGCTACAATCTTGAATAAACTACCAAACCATTCTTACTGGGCATGCTCATAAGAAATTCACTTTCCAAACCAGTATCTGAGTTGTCATTAAACCATGCCGTATTTGAAGATTAATCTCTTGCAGAGAAAAAGTCTTATTTTGGTGATTTGGTATTAGGTCAATAAATGCCAGGCATGCTTGCATAACAATGGTTCTAGCACACATCCCATGCAAGGTTAGGCAGGACTATTGTACTCATGTTAAAGGGAAAAGTGCAGGATTCAGGACAGAGAAAGGAGAATTTAGGCCCTAAAATACCTGCATGCTGTCCAAGGTGTTCTGGATGAAGTGCAAAGCAATAAATTCCAAACAAGACACAGTAAACAAAGAGATGTGAAATAAACAAAGAAATAAAAACAATTTTGAACACTTTTTTTACATTTCAAAGCAAAATATATTAGAACAGTTAACATGTGTAAAAACATGCATTAACACAAACCACACTATAGAATGTTTCAGAAATCAATACCACTGCTGGTCTTAAATTGCAAAAGGCAGATTAAATAAAATGCTATAAATTAATGGGTTTATGGCAATAAAAAGCAAAAGCTTAGGAAACCTTAATGGGGTTATGCAAAACAGAGGTCGCAGACAAATCAGCTAAATAGGAATTTTGATTAGCTTGAGGGGGATAAATAATCAGTTGCCTGCTTTGTTTCTACTTATGTTTTCCTGCATCATATACTTTCCACCAGGCATTAAAAAAAATTTAATCTTATGTACTTCAAGGCAAAATAAACTTAATATATATGATGATAATGAAAACATGAGTAAAATACTTTCTGTTGGAATATTAACCATTATAGATATAAACTTTTTTTTTAAATTTCTTTTAAAGATGATCACTGCAATAGAAAAACCACCTTCCATCAATGCATAACCAGTAAGAGCACAGCCAGAACTACTGTGAAGAGGTAGAAATTACCTTCTGCTCAAAACAGATTTCTAAGTGAAATCTTGACACTGCACTTGCTATAACTCATCTATGGTATCGCATGTTCTGTGTCATACATATGGTAAGACTTAACCATTTAATGCCTTTTCTTCTCCTCAGACAGAAAAACTAGTTTGGTAGTTATCAGTGAAAACTTATTTTACATGAAAAAACAAAGAACAGAAAAGAACAAAAGGAAATGTGGATGCAGTCAGCCTGCTATTTACCTGTGCATCTGTGTTGTCTGACACTTTACCTTATCCAAGTGCATCAAACGATATGATTGGAACTAAAAGAATCCATTGAGACTGGTTTTGAGAAACTGAGGAGAAATTGTTTACTTTAGGAACCTTCTTACAGGAGTTTGAATTTCTACTACATGTTGTTGCCATTTGTCCTATCTTACACATCGTTGTGGGTCAGCCTGCATTTCCAAACAGCAGTCAGCAAAAAGAATAAAAGGTTTTGTTGGCACCAGGCAGATATTCAAGTGTATTGATTTATTCCAATTCTCCGTTTGATTTTTTGTGTTTTAATGCGTAATTTACCCGTAACTGTATGCATCCATTATAAAGGTTCCATTATTATAAGATTCTCAGTTTAAAACCTCTAAAAGATTTCACTCCAGCTTAAGAAAGAAAGGTTTTGCAAACCTTGCCCTATTCTAACTAAAATTGACAGCAAAGCTCATAGGTTTTGAATGCGAGAGTAAAAATTTGCTTCTGTTCTTCATGTCACTTCTATACAAGACAGAAGCAATTCTGTATCCTTAGTTACAGAAGACTGAATTATTGGATTTATTTTTTTTAAAGGATTAATGACTTGAAGGAAGGCTGGAAATGTGATGTGAAGTCCATAAACACAACTACTAATGACTTTACAGATGATGCTCTGTGCTATGAGCAATTGCTAATGAAAATACTAAGATTTTTTGTTTTAACTTTATGGATAATGTTGCCTTTATGGGTGATGTCAGTATATGCAGGTATTAAGTGCCTTAAAAATTAGTAAATTAGATCATCTGAATCATCTCTAAAAACTTAATTAATAGTGTTTACTTAATAAATCAGTCACTGGCAAATTCCAAAAACATATTGCAACACAACTGGGAAACACTAAGGCCCCTGCTGGTGATACACAGCAATAGGATTAGAGGCAATGGACATGGGTAGTGTCCAGGCAAAAATTCTGACAGGATACAAGAATAATATTCTTCATAATTAAAGTGCTTAAAGACTGAAAGAGGCTTCCTATGGAGGTTGTCATGTCTCCATTCCCAGAGATATTTAAAAATGTACTGGGCAAAGCAAGCCCAGAGCAATCTACAGTAATTTTGAAGAGAGCTCTTTGAGCAGGGTGTTGGACCAGATAGCCAGAGGTCTCTTTCAAACAGAATTATTCTGTGTTTCTAATTTAAAATCTGAGTATGTTTCTGGTGTCCTTGATTTTCAAATGCCCAGTTCAGACTATCTTGAAAAGATCTAGCTTTCCAATAAAAATAATGAACTCTCAACTACACCCTTTGACGTTTTTTTGAAGTATCCAAATTCTCTCATTAGGTTTAAAAATTTTGACTCTTCAGAATGTTGTTTTATGTTTACTAGACAGTATTTAATTAGGAACATTAGGTAATTGATCGGTATTTGCAGCTTATTTCCAGCCTAAACAATAATAATTCTCACAATTAATCACTTCCATTTTATATATCTCACAGTATTTTACCAACAAAAGGTACCAAAATTTCTATTCTATACAAAGAGAAGCTAAGGTACACACATCATTTCCAACAGCTCAGCTTAATGCACTCCTAACTGAATTATAATCTTTAAAGGATGAAGTACATTATAAGAGAAAAATCCACCCTTATTTGCCTACATATTACTTGAAACTTTCAAAAGTGATGATACTGTAGTTATCACATTCAGAATGGAACTTCCACAAGAAAAGAAGGTAACACAAAGGATATCTTCTTACCTCTAGCAATTGAACTGCTCCCTCATGTTCCTTCTTAGCTTCAACCTGAGCCTTGTTTTTAGAAGAAGAGAAGAGAAGAGAAGAGAAGAGAAGAGAAGAGAAGAGAAGAGAAGAGAAGAGAAGAGAAGAGAAGAGAAGAGAAGAGAAGAGAGGAGGAATCAATTAATCATGCCACATATAGCATGCTCTAACTGCATAAAGTAGCATACTGTTTACTCAAATCCAAAGCCAATTAGAGTCTTGAAGGGATGGCTCCATCAATATTACTATAGCGCTTTGGTTCCAAGCCACTGAAATAACTGTTTATTTTTAGGAGACTGAATCTCAGTGAAGCTCAACAGCATCAGTATTTTGTTGGACCAAGATGAGCATGCTAAACACACTGCAAGAAAATATCAGAAGTATCTCTGAAACGCTCTAAATTAAAACTGAAAAATGAGCTTCTTATTCAACATTGCAGGAGGTTCATAATGTAGAAACCTACCATACCAGCTTGCAGAAAGCAACACAAAAATTAAGCTCATTCTTTACATGCAGCAACAGTATGTATCATCTAAGTAAATAGGTCACACAACATTCAAGGCAACCACAGGTTGTCTGTAAACAAGAGTGCAACATTTAGGATCTGATTAACTGAGTGAATGAAGAAAAGAGGGAATCAGTAAGAGGAGAAAAATGTATTTTATGTAGCACAGAATTTCAGTTACCAAAATTTGGCCAGGAATCTAAACCTTCGAAACAACCAATCAACAAAAAAAAGCACTCAGTAACTTTGTGTTATCCTTGCTTCATTTCCATTTAAGTTTCCACTATTTTCTTTATTGCAGCTTGCCAAGATAAGCAAAACTCTTTATTAACCATTGTATGAGGCTGATAGCAGCGTGATGTACTAACTTTGCATTATTACCTCCTTATTACTGTAACCCAAAGACCACATTCTGCACATTCCTCATCAGAGAAGTCTTAAACTCCTCCAGTTTAGCAGAAGGCAACACCCCACAGACTTTCTGATTTAATGGGCCAAATACTCCCATGATGGACACTGACACATCTATGTTAACTTCATGTTCCTCATCTATGAAGGCTACCCGACCCCATTACTGGTTTCAGTGGAAGCTGGGACAGGCCATAAAGTCACAACCAAGAACATATACCCAAACTATACTTCACTGTCATGCACAGTAATAAAGCTTCAGTCCTGCAAGCATAGTCATATTTCTTCCTGTACTACAGCAGTAAGTCTTATTGCTAGCACCTGATAAAATATTGGCTCCACGAGCATAAGCAAACATATGACGACATGTAATAGAAAGCCTTGTGCCATCCATCATTACAAGTTTAATAAAATCTACCCGCCATATGAGCCCTTGATAAATTATTAGAAAGCCTGCATCAATACTATCTCTCTTCGACATCAAACTGTCTTGTATTAAGGCTTTCTTAGAGAAAAAGAAATTTGATTCCCTATCAACAAAAAACCTTGATGAACAGTATTATATTCTTCATTTTTCCTTTTGGGCTGAAAATCTGACCAGTCTGTTCATGTATTAAAAACACAATGAATTTTTATTTGTAATATCAAAATGTGACAGCAAATACATCAGACTGCACCAGTAACTTGCTTTGTTTTGAAGTGCACATTTCTGTGGTTCATCAGCAACTTTACAACAGTAACAAGACACATACATGAGTGTCTGTGCAAGATCCTAGGAGGAATATTTCAGACTAATGAACGAAACCAGTAAGAAGGATGAATTATTTCTTAAATGCTTCTATTAAGTACTTCATAGATTAATTGCTATGGTGGATTTAGTATAGGAATTCTAAGCTAGAATTCTAGTCAAACTTAGTGGTAAATGATTATTAGATGATAATTTTTAACATAAATGATCTTGTATTCCATGCTATTTCAGGTCCACTGAACAAGAATTTAATCACTGGTTACAGATGCTGAGCTAGTTGCACTGAGTAAAATACAAAATGCAATACAATCTCCTTTGTGCTTGAAGTTTATCATGCTTAGCAAAAATGACTGCAGAAAACAGTATTACAGAAGTTTGTCCCCTGTTGCCAATCTGTAACAAAAAGACCCATGTAACGGGGATTTATTAGAAGACTGTAACAAAATATAGCAAGAAAAAAAGCTGTATCTTTCTTTGATTCCTTTGTTTTGCCAAAAAATTTAAGTCCAAAATTTATGTAGAAGTTCAAATAATAACAGCTGAATATAACTAGAAATGACATTTTGAAATATACCTAAATAGATTAATTGTAAAAGGCTAAAAGAAAATTAACTGGAAGATTTCATTTGGTGAAGCTTTCTATTCCAAGCAAACTATATTTAGATACCATCTTTTTATTCTGCTGAGAATGTCAATTCTCCATGCCAATTCTCCATCAAATTATCATTAGCATTATTATTTCTGTGTTTTGATCCAGTCAAGCAATTGGAAAAATCAACATTAGTGTTGAGACAATTACATTGACTTTGGTAAGGCTGAAACTCAATACCATGTTTTTTATGTTATAATGGATACTGAAAAGTTGCAGTGTGAAAAACCACACCCACCCCCCGTCTTAAAGTGGTTTGTGAATTAGAGAATGAGCTTGGAAATAAGAAACAGCTGTTTAATTTATGAAAAAGATCATCAATTGTGATGTGTAAGTACCTTGACAAGAATTTACTTTAATCTAACCTAGTGGAAAAAGGCAGTAAGAAACACCAGTGTCTGGAAGAGAAAGCCAAAGAAATCCTAACAATATGGCTATTCCAGCAAACTCACAAGGAAATGGTGGATTGCCCATATTTCGATTATCACAAAATTAAGACTGGATTCCTTCCTGACATTTAAGGAATGCACAAATATTCCTGAGCCCAATATAGAGGTAAGCAATGGAAATGCAAAGGAAATACATGTTTTTGTATCACTTTTCTCCCTAATGGAAAATATGAGGGCTTACATATTCTGGACAGGTTAATCTTCACTGGCATAAACATTTATAAATCAATTAGTACAGTCATGTATATATCCAACAGTAAACATCCACTTGCTACAACTGCATCAGCAATCGTGCAGAGCAATCCAGAAGAGGAACCAATTTGGTGGTTGTGGTTTAAGCTCCTTTAAACCAGGAGATCTGTTTCATGACCTGTGCTCCGTCACTGCAATTTGCTATTTCACCTGACTTTTCCTTTCTCCACTTACCTTCTGCAGGAGTTCAATTTCCTGCTGTTTGGCGTTGAGAACAGCCAAGGCTTGCTCATGCTCCAACTCCAGCTGTTGCCGCCGTTCAGCAGCCTCTCGCATATGCTGTTTCAAAGGAAGCAGAAAAACTATCAGATGACTTCAACATATTCTACCTTTAGCCAAACATGCTGCCATTCCCAGGCACGTAGACATACATCTAAACATAAAAGGTCTCTGGTATCACTGATAGGCAAGCTGGAAACTGGATAGGATTTTAATTTGGTCAGTATTTGGGGCATATTGCCAATGTTAAACTCAGGCATTTTCACAGCAACCTCTTTGACGATACAGGACTCTGTCATCACCCGCAACGTGGCCTCTGCCCTGCACAACTGCACAGCAGCACCCACTGTATCCCTCAGGCACACGTTCAGATGTGACATTCTCCTGAGAAGTTAAAGCTTGCAAAAAACTTAGCTTGACAATTCCCCAAATGCCTCTTTATCTAGGATACAGCTTTGTGGTTTGTTTTGCAAATAATGACCCAAAAGAAATAGCTTACCTTTGCTAATCTCTGCCTATTATTTATAGCAAATTAGACAGAGCAAAACTAACACAGGTGGATATGGACAATAGGAGCTACACAGTAGTCAAAAACAACTTTTAAAGATACTATTGAAAGCAATATGAGTAAGGTTCTTGGGAAGAACACAAGCTGAACTATGTCAAGATACCCTTTGCAGATAGAAATCTTTTTCATTACAGGTTAATATTATTCTCCCAATGTCATTATAACTTCCAAACACCCTGTTAATAACTGGGAGTTAAGACAGATCTCTTTACAGATTCTGATCTCTTCTCTGGTGAAGCTGGTATTAAAGATTTTTATTTTCCAAATTACATATTGTTCCCATAATACTCTCAGAGCAGAGGCACAATGTCTTATCTGCAGCACCACAAGTTATTACACACAAACCTATTAGGAATCGGCATTTGGAAACACAAATACATAGATAAAATTGACAAGAACAGTCCAAAATATCTCTTATTGTGTACAAGAGAAAATTTTATCAAGCATATTGCTAACCTTTAATGAGCTGTTATTCCCTGTTACATGTTACTCATAACAAAGAGGGACAGCACAGCAAGGCTGACTTCTCTCAATCTGGATCTGTTTGCAAAGGAAGCAGAAATGTCTCCAATATTCCATTGGTCTCTGTTTGGGATTTATTTTTATTTGATGTATTTATTAAAAACAACAACAACAACAAAAAAAAAATCAAAGATTTTTCCAGTTCATCAGTTTTGACTCTCAACTATGGCTTGCTTTCTAGGAGTTTTGTGAGGATTCTGTATTTTGACTGCAGACATTTCTGAACTGTGCACATTGTACAAAAGTTAAATGGATCTGTTAATGGGTAATATCTATTCTCAGTATTTAATAATGACCAAAAATAATGGTTCTGAACCTCAACTCATCTGAATGAACATAGCCTATTTTGCTAATGAGTATTACTCATTACTTAAGTCAGCATGAAGCTACATTTACTGAGCTCAGCAGCTTCCATCAAGTCTTATGTAAAACTTGACACTGATGGAGCATCAGCATATTTCCTATATTCAAGAAATGTTGAGGTAATCAAGTAATTCTCACACCTTTAATTGAAACCTTTCATTATCAGAGAAAAGCTTTTACTTCCCTCTCTGAAGATTTAGTACCAGATGTGGTACAGCGTATTTTGATACTGTTAAGTCCTCACTACTTTTACATAAACTACTACAGAACATTTCTAGCCCTTTGCAGAGATCAATAAATAATGAATATGGAGCCGTACAGTGAATCTATAAAATGTAACGAAGAAACAGATTGTGATACATGATCTGTGATTCTCCCCAGCTTTTAATTTCTCTGTTTCCTAAAATACATATTTAGTGATCTACAGTTCACAGATTTTAAGGTCAGAAAAGACCATTTGGTCATCTACGTTAACCTAAAAGTACCTCTCAGTCATTTTAGTATTGTCCTGATCTACTTAGTATTTAAAGCAGCAAGGATCTCTTCACCCCAGCATCTGTCCCTCTCCTGGCACAGCAATTAAATCTCCCCCCAACCAGAAGCAATTCCTCCCTTCCCACTCTGCTCACAAATTGGTTCTGTCTGCAAATCTGTTCTGCGCTTCCTATTGCACATCAGCTGCTGCCATCTCTGCTTCCGAGCCTGAAGGGAATAGGTTAGGGCAGTGGAGGAGGACTGCAGAGATCATTACAACAGCAGGGAGAAAGCTCTGAGCTGCTGAATTCTTTCTGCACCTTTCTTCAGGACCGACTTCCAAAATGATCACGTTATCATGGTTTGTGTAGGTGGTGGCACTCCATCCGTCCCCACTATTGCTGTCCTTAATGGGAGTCATGCTAGAACTTTCTAAATGTAAATCTGCACTTCCCTTTTTGCACCCTTTCTAGAGGTCCTGCTATGTCACTCTAACATCAGAAAGCAAATCCACATCTAAAAGAGTGTAGAAAAAACACAGTAACGACTTCCTGTTTCAAAACAATTAGCAAATAATGCTCTATCCTTCAAATAAAGTGTGAAGAAGGAACCTTTTCAGTGTATCTTTCAGATCAAAGGCAAGAATACTCCTAAGCTCCAGCAAAGGAACTAGGGACATAGTGCATCTCAGTTTTCTTTCAAACTACAAAGCTAGAGAGCTGTGTAGGATAAACTCTTTCTGAAAGAGCACTTAAGGGATGTACTCAAACAGATTTTGGCTTTTCAGCTTCCTCATGGGCACAGGGGGATTTGACAATGAATAGCCCATCCTAGCTCCAAGGGATTCAGCGGTTGCACTGTATTACCTACAGCTGCAAAGAAAACAAAGAAACACATTCTTTCCCACAGCAGTGACTCCTGCAGTTCTAAAATGTGCAACTAGTTAATGCTAGAGCAAACTGCAATGGTTTTCAAGTACTTAAGTCTTGTTTATGAGACAGAACTCGTACATGATGCTGAATAGGGAGCAAATTTAATTCTCACCCAAGTACTCTGATCAAAGGACTTGTCATCTGCGCTTGCAGATGGGTGGGCACCATTACAGTGGAATGAATGGGAAAAGCTGGCTGAACACTGTGAAGATTCTCAGAAGTTCGCTAATTCAGCACTTCTTCATCTTTTCATCTTTGTTGATACATCCTGAGATAACAGAAAATGTAACTGAATTTCTCTTTTGACAGGGAAACTAGGCTAAATATTTCTCAAAACCTCCCAATGGTTGGAAAGCTGCAAACCATTTTTCCAAACTACTAATTTCCTGAGCATATGAGGACACACATGAAATACACAAATAACTGCATCTGCTTGGGCATGGTTTAATGCGAAAAAGGAGATTTAGGGGATTCAAGTCTGTTCAAGGTACTCTGTGAGCTCAGAAAAGTTCTGGTGAAGGCAGAGAACTACTGAAAATGAAAAGCTGGGCTCTCTATATCCACCAGACAATTTTTGTTTCAGTGAAGAAAATCTTTTGAAGGAGTTCTGCAGCAGAACACTGAGATTTACAGAATGTTTCTCCCACGTGTATTGGAAGTATTATTTCAGCAGAAGTTAAGCAATATCAGTCAAATAAACAGATTCAGCTCTTCTACAGAAGAAATTTGGAGGAATCATTAAATCAAATGCCAGTAGACATCCTAATTAAAGAGTGGAGAAATTAACATTATTTGGTATGGCTAAAGAAGAAAGTACGTTCTTTAATTTGTTATAAGAAAGTAAAACACAGTCCATCATTAGAGGAGTTCCAAATGTTCAAACACATACAAGCCTAACAAAACCAGTATTGGAACAGGGTACAAGAAAGGAGTTTTACTGCTCATGAAGCAGGGGTTTTTTAGCAGCGTAGGAGTCCAGACAATAATAATTTGCATTTTGATTTGATGAAATGAGGATTAATGCCAATTTACTTAGAGCAAAATCTAACCCTCAGATGTTTTATGACCCACAAATTCACAGTTCCTTTCTAGACTTTTTTCCTCTTTCTACTACATGCTCCTTGAAGAAGCTATCAAGCTGGAATCCCATAATTATATGGAGAGCACAGGCAAGCCGTATCTGTTGAAATAGCTTCTAGGTGTTGATTCTACTCTCTATAGGTACTAGTGCATGGCTCACAGTAAAACAGCAAATTAGTGATAAAGGTCTGTGGAACTGTCAGTTTTGTATTACCCTGAAGAAAAGGAAGGAAGTAACAGAAAAAGTAAATTATCTTCCATTGCTAGAGAAAAACTTCCTACTTGTTCCTGGGCAAAGCTGTATTAGTCTAAAGCCAGATAACAGTGTATCACATTTCTGTTCAATTAAGCAGTTTAATTTTCCTTTCCCAGTACATATACTTCTTATTTGCATGTAATTCTATATTTATTCCATCAGTGACACCCATTGACTGGTAAGTGGGACATTCATAACTTTTTTGATATTGCACAATAAAATACCTAACAGCTGCCCTCAGCATTGCCTAGTAGGTGATTTCACCAGCTTGTGTTTCCAGAAGCTGCTGGAATAAGTTGGTTTATGGAGCAGTCACCTTACTTTTGATAGCCACACAGCCCTCCAGGTTCAGCAAGAGGAATGTAACTTATAGCCACCTTTTATTTCCATTTGTAGCTAGAAAACCTCCTCACCTCTTGAGCAATATCAATAAAGCCTGAGAGAAGGTTTCAGCAACATATTTACCAGTGCAACAAACTAAAAATAAAACCTCCTCTTCTCAAAGTTCAGACAGGTAACCATTTTCATCACGACAGTAATCTCCAAAAGCCTAGATCTATTCTGATGAAGCCAAGAGCAAAGTTATTTTCCCCCTTTTACAATGAGTCTCATGCAAATGAAAATCATTAGCAAATCCACTTTCAAGTAAGTGATTGTACTTATGGCAAGCATTATCTGAAGCCACTTAGCATTATTAAAACATTCCGCAAAGAGAAGTCTTGCTTGAAATTTAAGATCTCAGTCCACCTATTTTCATTTCCATCTCCTCCTACTCTAAGGGCATCCATCCCTCCTTCACTGCCTTCTTCAGTGGTTTGAAAAAGGAAGACCTTGGGCTTGACAAGATGAAAAATAAGCAGCTCTTTGGCAGTTTGTTAAAAATGTTGCAGCACCAGATCAATTCTCCATTCCAATCAGACAAACACATCCTTCATTCTTCTGAATGGTCTGAAGTATATACAAGTGTCTACAAGTGTTTCCTCTCTCAAGAATTCTCACCGTACTCACCAGGGCAGTTCCTCCACTGATGCAGACAGCTATAACTGTAGGACTTTTTTTTTTCTTTTTTTCCTTTTTTCTTTTTAAATAACCTTGGTTGCTTGACCCTCTTCAAGGCCTATTTTGGTGGCAGTTTTGCACAACACATCTTCCATATTTTCTACGACTAAGAAAACCTGGGAACAGTGTCCCATTCAAACCAGTTTGGGTTTTTACCATATCAGATGCTTCCTTCCACTGGCTCCCTCTACCCTGTCACACTGGACACCAACTCATTGTATGCACGGGACTTTTCAGACCCTTTTCCCTGACTCCTGATTCATCTGTCAAGCTTGGTTTATCATGTTACTGACTTCCATCTTTATTTAATCAACGACACTTTGGGAATTTGGCTGTTTTCTAGCAAAGCATTGTTTCCTTCCCACTACTAGAACTTTTTTTGCACTTTGTTTCAACATATACAAATTAGTGCTCCCTTGAATTAGCTGGTCAGTAATAATCTCTTGGTTGATTCCACTTTCCAACTGAATTTTACTCTTACTCTACCCTACTCTACTCTAAATCTATGTCAGATAGATTTAATCTCTGTTAGATTCACTTGATGAATTCCACTATTTCATAGAATCAGTTTGTCCCATGGTATTATTATGCACAATAACAAGGAAAACTGAAGCAGGACAGCATCTTCAACTGAACAGTGAAACCTCTACTGAAGAATACCCTTATGATTCGAAATGCATTACTGAATTTTTCCAAGTTGAAAAGGAAGCAGCAAATTGAACGCATGAAAACAACTGTGTATCTAGAAAACAAGCATGCCTAGACACCAACGTATTAAGCTTCTCCAGAAGCATGTTAAAAGAAAGGTGGTTATGTACCAGGTACTACAATTATTTCTAAATTAGACCTCTCTGATAAAACAGTAGCAAGTTTTGCAACCCTGTCCTGGCAATGGATTGCACTCTGTACAGGCAAAAGGAGCTGGTACCAACAGCTTGTTTCACAAGGCCACAATAATATTTTGCATCAAGTTAGACTGGCAGACAGCCTGCCTTAAAGTAAAATATCTTGGCAGTTGTTCATATTTCCTTCATCAGCATAGTCACTTCTTATCCTTTTCTTCTCGACTTACCTCCCATAACTGTATATTGAAAACCTACATCCAATTACTTATACAGCAGCAGATGAAGATCTCTGAAGGCATCTCTCCTCTGGCAGTTTGAGATCCCTTGTAGGTACTTGGTCTACTGTATTCCATACATTTTACCATAACTAATAAGGGCATTCAGTTCCCTAGTTGCAATGCACTTATGCTTCTGTGACTCACTGAATGAGCACTAGGAATATTAAAACAGCAATAGAAGTACTGGATCATTAGGCTCTATGGCATTATACATACCTTTAGGACCTGCTCTAAGTTCTCCAGCTTGGCTTGGAGCTGGTGTTTTCCCTTTACAGCCAAATCTCGTTCCTTGGTCACTCTGAGAAGGGTTTCTCTAAGATGGTCATAGTCTGATTTTACCTAAAAAAATTAAAATGTGATTATTGCCCAAACAGCTAATTAATGAAGGGAAAGCTATATCTGACACAAACATTTCTGTGTGTTAAAACGGAAAAAGGAAAAGAAGTTCAAAGAAAACAGGAAAGTGTAAAAAATGGAAGGGAATGTTCAATGAGAAAATTATGTATAGGAAAGAAGTGTAAAAAATGGAAGGGAATGTTCAATGAGAAAATTATGTATGTCATATAGATGTATGCATGAAACACATTTTTATGTCAGCAAGGACTACAGTAAGGACTACAGTCTGGCAACCAAACTGTAGTTATGCCTAAGTTATGCAAAATTAAATAAGCATAATATATAATGTACAAAAAAAAAGGACAATCAAACAATCCCTAATTTCTCTGGATCTCAGAGGCATCAAAGCTGGGTGTACTACATAAAGAGACAGAGGTTCATCATGTATACATAGAAATGTAATTCACATGTACATTTTTCTGGACTATTCCTTAGTCTAAATTGACTCAGAATAAACTCAAATATACATGATCAGCCTGTGCTAACATTTGAAATCAGTGTCTCTACAATTCAAAAGCAGGTATTCTTTGGCAACAAAACCCTTGCTCTCCCTTAAAATATTTGCATACAGAAGGTTTTTAAAGGATCAGGTAGTCATCAAGTAGGATTTACTTTATTTACTTGGTGCTAGCTTAACCATTTCAGTATGACTAAGTCTTTTTATACAGGATTTTGTGAATCATCAGCAATAGTGACTACTTCATAAACACACATAAAAAATAAGAAAATATAACATTAAACTATTTTATCTTGCCATGGAAAAGTTCTTTCTTCAATTCAGATCAGCTGAAATTTTGATTTTTTTATCCCTGATCATTTTATGGCTTCATGTCCTGTATTGATGTATGAGTAGGATTGTTACAGCCTGTACCACAGCAGAAACTGCAATATTTAGATTAAGAATGAAAACCCACCAGCAATAAACACCTGGGTAAAAAAAATGCATTACACTCACATACAATTTCCACTTCCCTGCAATGTTGATAGAAGGCAAAAAAGCAAGAGAAAGAGTCATAAGATTTTTAGTGATCAGTGTTCCAAGAATCATCTGTTTTCCTTTGTGAACTGCAGCAACACGGCGCAAAAGCACAGCAATGCCAGCAGGGTTACTGGCTAAGGAAAGGCAAAGCACTAGAAAGCACTGGGATAAGGCACAGGCTTTAACCTTGGTGCAGCTCATGTTTCCTTCGAACTTCAGTTAAAGAAGTGACAAACGCTTTTTTTTTCCTCCCCAATTTAATTACTATAATTTCTTGTGTTTTTTAAAAAACGAATGGGATTAAGCAATCTTTGACATGGATATCTCCTGGACATTTTCTAAAGCGATGTTTTGGAAACTGCTTCAGCCTTTCTATTTGCCTTCTGGCTCCAGTTTGTTAACTTGCAAATTTTGCCATGGACCAAACAATCTAAATGGTTGCAGCCAGCCCTCGTATTCATCTTTGTAAGAGGGCTCTTTAGAGTGCAGTGGACTGGAAAAAAGAAAGAGGAAAATGGAACAAATCATGTTTTCCACAAGAACTGATGCAATTATTGTCAACTTCAGGATTTTTTTTCTGTGCACAGATTTTTCTTTTCCTCTTCCCTCGTTTCTTTATAACTAAGGAAACTATTAAACAATTGATTTCAGAATCTATTAACTTTCTGCATCCTTTGTATTGTACTTCATTGCTCAGATCAGTCAATGTATATTGTTGAAGAATAATGGAGTGGAAAAGGAAGCAATGAGGTATCACCATCAACGATGCAATTGTGTTATTGTCTGTGTTCTCAGTTAATTTACTGAGGATGAATGAAGTACAGTATTTTGAACAAGTTGCAAGATAAGATTATTTTCCTCAGGCTTTAGTTTTCCCTGTCTATAAAACAACTGACACCAACCAACTACCTTTGTAAAGCATTTTCTAAAACTTAGTAGTCATCATAGTCTGAATAATTTTGGGGAGGTAGTAAGCACGGTACCTTTCTGCTGCGGGTTTTTCCCTGCTGGCAGTGAAGGGGATGTCAAAACAAATGGTACTATCAGGCTGCTAATGTAATTTTGGCAAGAGAGAAGTGAGAGACAGGTAGAACTGTCAATATTTTACACATCTCAGGATCTTTCATTTGGGATCTTGAAGTGCATACCTACATTAGTTAAAGTTTATGAATACACAAATGGTTCTGATAATTTCTCTACTTTCTCTTTTGGCAGATCAGCTTTCGAACAAAGTTCTGTGTATATTTTCATTTTGAAGGTTTGAAAGAACACAGCCAAATCTACCAGCCACCTTCTAATAATGATGCTTCTTACTTCCAGCAACACTGATAACTTTTAATATTTCTGCAGGGCATTCTTGGCAGGACATTCCCCTCTGAAGATTGTGAATCACATAGAATGCTGTGATACACACATTTATATAACTCATAAGGCAGCATAAGACTTGATGAGTCTGTAATTTGCTTTTTTTTTTTGTTTAGACAACATTTGTTCTTAAATGTGAATTTCATGCTCTCCCCAAGCAGGCTGTTTAAGAACATATGGGATATACGTGAACTTGAATTACATGCAGAGCACATCAAAATATCAATGTTCCCAGTGGCAAAAACAGTTGACCTAAATAGAGTGTCAGCATAAACAGTTCTAATTTCATGGCAGAAACAGAGAACATTTTTATCTGTGATGCTTCTCTGTTCAATGCATCAATCAATTTATTTGTCATCCCATAAGTTCACACTTAATAAATGCGCCCTCATTTGAGTGAGTTATGAAGGCCAGGACACTGCTAAGGTGTCTTCCACTTCCTGAACACTTGAACAGACACCAGTTACTGAAAACCAGCACAGCAAAATGAGCCAGCAGTTTAGTTTGTTGGGAAAAGCTCCAGCAGCCTTATACCCCACCATTTGCCTTAATTCTTGACTTTAGTGACCTGCCAATGACTTACATTGTTCAGAAACTACCATGAAAATGGTATGATTTCAGATACTGTGGAAAATAAATTCTAAACGTATAATGCCTATTCCATTTTTACATAAAGACAGTAGCCCATATATATTCAGATGAGCATGAAAAGACATTGTTAGTGCCCAGTGTTATAGCACGTCTAATGACACAGAATCTTTTCACAAATATGCCACTCCAGCAATGCAACTTTGTTTCTCTTATGCTGAGTACCAAAACTAAATCATGTAAGTTATGTACAATTTTAGGTTTATTTTGTGGATTTAAAGGTAGCCAGCCTCATACCTACTCCTTTCTAGAGTAAAATTTTAGCAACTACATTAAACAAAAATGAGCACTAGTTTTATCTGTGCTACATAACTGAATGCATAAACACTCCTCCAGCCCCGTTTGCTTGGATAAAGTTGGCCTGTTTTTCAGGCCAGCTCTCAAGGGTAAAAAAGAATAAATTATTTTAGGCAGGTTTTCCCCTTCAGGGCTGAGCCCTAACTCTGTTAGAATTCTGCTCCAGCGTCCACATCCAAAGTTGTATAGTTTCACACTTCCTGAATAATAAAATGTAAGCTAAACTGCACAACCTGTCCTCAACCTCATTGTGCATGGTAAAAAAAAAAAACCACCACTCCTCCCCCCCCCCCCCCA